GGTACACGTACCCCCAGGGGTATGGGAAGAGTTTGGTGGGGGTACGTGTTGCCCTGGAGTTTGGTGGTGATATGCACTGCACCATGCTTAGCTGAGCCTAATTCTATGTTCTCATGAGTATGAGGGGTACTCAGCATTACGAAAATTATAGAAGGGGTACACATATGTCAAAAGTTTGGGGGGGAAAAAAAGTTTGGGAAACACTGGAGAGGATAATCTATAAAGCACATGACTTGGCCCATGCGAGGTGCTCAGTAAACACTAGCAGGAAAAGCAGGGTTGGAAGGAAGGTTATGTGGGCTGAAAAAAGGAACAAGAGCAGAGGACTTCCTGTCTGGCTTTGGCCCCTGTTTAAGTAAGACATTAGGAAGAGCAGGTACCAGGGGACTCCTTCCTGCCTCCTGATGGCTGTGTGACCTTCAGCAGCTGCTTCGCCTCCGTGGGGCCCTTGGCCAGATGAGGGGCAAGAGCAGCGTTTCTCAATGTATAGGCCATGGGCCACCTTTATCAGAACGCTAAAGTGCTAACATCCTATTAAATCAGTGACTTATTTTCTCCTGGAAATAAACCATTTTTTTTTTTTTTTTAAAGTCCTCACTTAAATCTTCTTTAGAGCGTGGATGGAAAGAACACTCAGGGCTTCTAGGTCAAACAAAACAAATCTGTGGTTGAGCAGCTGCTATTAATAGGGGATTCTTGAGAGAAATGGAGATCTTAACACGAAGCAAAATCAACCACAGTTAATTCTGGTCATATCGGCTTGCAGACAAAGTGCCTCAGTGCCTTGGTTGGCGACCTGTGATTGCCCAGGTGGCACAGAGCTCAGACAGACTCTGGAGACCAGAGCTCCAGTCTCCCCTCTGACAAGCTGTGCAACCTGGAGCGTCTATGATCTTGAGGTCTGCTCATCTGTGGAAGAGGGTGGATCACCAGGGGGTCCCAAACCAATTGGAGTGGAGAGGCTTTTAAAATGCAGGCTCCTGATGCTCTCTTAGACCCAGGTAACCAGAATCTCTGGGGTGGACATGTTTCTGTTCACTTCACCAGGAGATGGTTATGTCACCAGCCTGTCTAGCCACCACTCAGACTTTTGGGGCCCAATGAACTTGATGACCTCTTAGAAACAGTGTGGACCATGAAAAGAACACATTATGCATACTGTAGGTCTCATCATGATGGTGCTGCTCCTTACTTGGTTCTTGGCTGGTCAGAACCAAATTTGGGGCCCACCTCTAGCTAGTAGGTGATTTTTATGCATTTTTGTCCTAACTCTACTCCCTTATTTTATTCTTCACTCGTTTTTGTTTTTCCTCTTAACATCTTTTTTTTAAATATATATAATTGATTTTTTACAGAGAGGAAGGGAGAGGGACAGAGAGTTCAGAAACATCAATGAGAGAGAAACATCGATCAGCTGTTTCCTGCACACCCCCCACTGAGGATGTGCCACAATCTAGGTCTATGCCCTTGACCGGAATCGAACCTGGCACCCTTCAGTCCACAGGCCAACGCTCTATCCACTGAGCCAAACCAGTTAGGGCTTAACATCTTTTTAATCTTATTGTAGCGTATGTATTTTTGTAAACAAAGCTCAAGTCCTTTTGTTAAATAAGGCAGGTGTATATGGGAAGTGAAGACAGGAGGGAGAAAGTGGAAATCCCTTCTTTTCCACTTTCTCCCTCCTGTCTTCACTTAGGACCTTGATAGTGCTTCAAGACATACAGTATACATAACATAAAGACCACCGTGTTCTTTTCATGGTCCACACTGTTTCTAAGAGGTCATCAAGTTCATTATGACCTTGGCTCCTAAACTGACCAACTCTGGGATCCTGTACCTGACAGGAGTACCTGACAGAGGTAACATGTTTAGGAGTGAAGAGCTGTGAACTTGTGGTGACATTTCGGAACGGTTAATGTTCTTCCTTTTCCGGTACCCTCCCCTCCCCCCAGTAACAAGCCCTCTCTTTTCTTCCAGGTTTGATCCCCTACAACTTCATCTGTGTGCAGACAGGCTCCATCCTGTCCACCCTCACCTCTCTGGATGCTCTTTTCTCCTGGGAAACGGTCCTTAAGCTGTTGGCCATCGCTCTGGTGGCCTTAGTCCCTGGAACCCTCATAAAGAAGTTCAGTCAGAAAGACCTGCACTTGAGCGAAACAAGCAATGCCAATCATCTAAACGGCAGGAAGGTCATGTGATCTGGATCGTTTTGGTTGTGTGTCCCTGGACTCGACTGCTTCTGTGTGTCGTGGGTGTGGTCCTCTATAGCCCCTCCTTGTTTTTTAATTGCCCTCCACGGGTGGTTTGGACAGTATTCATCCGTGCGCCTTGTCTCGCCATGAAGGACACTGCGCTGTAGAAGGGGAGTTACATCAGGTTCTCAAACAAGCCCTGGTCAGTAGGACACTCTGTGAACTGGATAGCTGCTCAGGAAACCCTGTTTCTATTTTATTGTGTAACAAGGAGCTCAGGACAGTCTCTTGTGTTTATTTGCCTCTTGCCAAGCCCGGAGCTGCCTCGGAGAGGATGCCGACTGGCCTTGTCCAGAGTGCCTCCTTTGCGAAGTGATAGGCTGTAGTGACAGGTGTTTCTTCTGTCCTTTTTTGCGGATGACCTACCTCTTCCATAAACCAAGGGAAAGAAGCTGCTTAGAATGTCTGTGTACAGTTCAAGGGCACAGTGATTTCCGCGATGTTCTCTGTGTTCGGGCAACCCGAGGTTACCATACTTATCAGGTTCCCTCTTGGTTGCGTGGCCTGACAATTAAGCTGATTGCAGACAGATTATTAAATATGAATGGAGCACTCTATATGCCATGGATACGCTCTGGAGAATCTCCCTCTGGACAGTGCAGGGCCCTTGACTCACCTGCACCAAATGACTATCAGTACATTTTCTAGCCTGTGCTTTCTGTGTGTGAATCCCTCCTCCCTCCTGCTAGGAGAATGGACGCCCAGATATTGCCCTCTGGATGTTTTTCAATTTGTCATTTGCCAAGAATAACTGAGCAAATATGGCATTTTATCTTTTAATTCTAAGAGGAAAACGTGGTTTGGGGTTTCTGTCTGTGCTGTGTTTCGATTATCTGCAGCTGTTGTTGCTTCTGAGCGCAGCAGTATTGAATTGGCACAGACCCGGTGTCATACTTCCAAGGTCAGAAGGACCTTGGCTCCTAAACTGACCAACTCTGGGATCCTGTATCCGACAAGGAGTAACTAGCCATTTCTCACCAGAACTGTTGCGCTTGTGCATGGCCTGCTGGGTTTTTGGTTTGGGTTGCCCAAGAATCTTGCCAAGGCTTTAATCTAGGCCACCTGTTCTACATGAATTCTTGGGAATGAATTCCCAAGCATTGTTTTTTGGACTCATATGAAAAAAAAGTACACAAAACAAAAACAGAAGAACTTAATTTTTGAAGATGTGTTGATTTAAAAGAAGCTTGATAACAAGGGTGGGCGTGACGAGGAGGCCAGCTGGACTCGGAAACCTGAGGCTCTCTGCTCCCGGAGTCGGGGAAGGAGGGAGGAACCGGAAGCTGTCACACTTTGTCCTTCACCAGGACCCTCGGGTTGGTCTCTGTCCCTCATCCCCCACGGTCTTGCAACAATGTGCCTTATCGGCTGTGAGTTTACAGGCAAAGCAAGCTCCCGAATAAAGGATATAAATGTTCTGTGTGGTATGTGTTCGTACATGTTGCTAACTTTCAGTTCCCCTCGCTAGTGGGCGTCAGTATTGGCTCAGAATCCGACTGTCCAAATGGTGTTCCAGCTCTCTACTCTCAAGCCTTTTACCAGTATTATTTTTTAGAAGCCACATTCTCCTTTTCACCCTTCCCCTCTCTCTGCTCACTGGATAGTGGGGTAATTAGTAACACTAACTGTAAGATGGGCAGCAGGCAAACCAGAGGGAGGAAGCAGAGCGCCTGTCCGGGCTATTTCAGAATAACCAAGAAGGGACTGTCACGAAACAAAATAACGGTGCTCTCTTCCTTCTGTGATGTGTACAACAAGAGCCACCGAAACCAGCTTTGCCATCCTGGCTGCAGGAAACCCGGGCATGTGAAGTCCTCCTTTCCCTAAGTCCGGACAAATGCTGAGATTTGTGAAGGCAGCTCTCAGGACACAACCAGTGCCTTTAGGAAAAAACGACCAAAAACCGGTGAAGTACAGTTTTTAATTCCATGCATGTGTTTGCTGTGATAGTCGCTTTTGTTCTCATGGCTGTATAGTTGTTTGGTACAAAGCGAGCTGGCATCAAACCAGTACACGGTGCAGAGGAACTAACAGGGCGGCAACCACAGGGAAACAGATGAGGGGGTTCATTTTGAGACCTGACCACAAAAAGAAGTTAATTTGCTCCAAATGGATGGGGAACTCAGATCATTGCAGTAAAGAATTAAAGTGAGTCTTCCCACTTCCGGAGTCAGAAGAGCTCTCCGGGTGACACGATAGCTGGGATTGGGCAACCATTGGAGGACCCTGTCTGCCTGGTCACCGGGCAGCAGCCAGGAGCCAGAATCTTGTAGAGAGTAGGTCTGTGATTCTGCCAGGAGTTTCCTTACAGTGGCCTTGCCATCTGCTCTATGTGAACTGCCATCATGCTCTGGTCATGCGACAGTTAACCAAAGCCCTAGCTTCTTTGGGGGTAACTCTCTTTCTCAGAGAAGCGATTGCAGAGCTCCCCTCTTCTGCCACCCGTCCCAGGGAAGTGTTCTGGGTTCCACAGGGGTCCTGTCCTCGGCAGTCTAGTTCATTCCGTTTTTTTTTCCTTTTTTTTTTCTTAAATATATTTTATTGATTTTGTACAGAGAGGAAGGGAGAGAGATAGAGAGCTAGAAACATCGATGAAACAGAGAGTCATCGACCAGCTGCCTCTTGCACACCCCCTACTGGGGATGTGCCCGCAACCAAGGTACATGCCCTTGACCGGAATCGAACCTGGGACCTTTCAGTCCCCAAGCCGACGCTCTATCCATTGAGCCAAACCGGTCTCAGCTAGTTCATTCCGTTTGAATAGGTGCTTGCAGTATGGGCTGTAACATGCTGACAAGCAGACTGAGGTGATTCTTGTGTGCTAGTCTGTTGGTAACAATGGTGGAGTGAATATCCTAGGACCTTTATCCTATGAAATCTGCAGAGAAGGAAAACATTGCGACCTGGAAAGGCACTGAATTCATACCGACAGTACAAGTCAAGGTCTTAAAAAGAATGTCACATGGTTTTGAAATATTAGGAACTGGGATTTAACATATTACCTGTGTCTAAAAGGTGAGGGAGGAACATGCTTATTTAACACAATGCAATAAAGTGAGTGAAGAGACACATTTTGGAATTTGATTTGTCAGCAATTGGAGGTGATTCCATTGGAATTGTAGTCCCAAAGGGCAGGGGTGGAGGCAGGTGGCCTTTTCCTGCTGATGGTGCTGTCCCCTGAGAGCCATAGGGTGGGTCCATAAGGAGAACACTGGTGTGGTCTGTCATTTTCCCATCAGGGCTAACTCCAGCTCTCAAACCACTGTTAGGAAACTGATTATGCGCTTAGAGCTGGGATGGTAAACATCCCCTCCAGAGCAGTTCTAATCAGGTGGGAGTTGTGTTGTAAGAGGTTCTGAACGTGGTGAGCAGTGAATAATGTTGGTCTTGGGTGTTCAGAGTGTGGATTGTAGGTGGTGGTATTTTGGTTTCTGGCTTAGTGGCAAAACAAAATAACAGCGCACTGCCGCAGAACAGAGCAGGAATTCCTAGGTTTCCAAGTATTATGTTCCATTTTGGAGAATTCAGTTCCAGGAACTTCAAGCAGGAACATTTTAAGGGGAAACAAATGAGACATAAGGGGATGGGAACAAGAGTAAATTACTTGCTCAATACGAATGCACTTACACTGAAAGGATGTCAGTGCCCCCCAGTGGGCGGGCATTTAAAATTAGTTGGTACCAGGAAAACCCCAAACCATCAGATCCATTATTTAGGGCAAGAAGGAAATTTAGCACAAAGAATCCCTGAAGTGGACGTCTAGTACTAAAAATATCCGTAATTCTTGAAGACGGGTGTGTTGATACTAAACTTTTAAAATATCTGAACTTCAGGTATGCCATACAGGATCATCTTACAGCAGAGCTAGCGTCTTCACTTTTCCAAGTAGGAGCTCTCCACAGCCTCCAAATAGATCTAAACTTTAAAGCCTGTTATAATTTCAAAGTGGATGCAGGCTTCTTAGTTTCTCTGCTAAGCTATTTATTTATTTATAACTCTTCAACCAGGTTTATTTTAAAAAAATATTTTCCCCTCCTTAAACTCCACATTCTTAGTTTTTCAGGAAGAGAGAGAAATGGCATCAATGCAACATCCTCTGGCTACTTCTGATTGTACAGGACTAAAACCATTCTCAGGAGTCCTGCCCACCAGCCAGTGAGTTCCAAGAATTCTTCAGGTGTGCCGAAACCAGTTTGGCTCAGTGGATAGAGCATTGGCCTGCGGACTGAAAGGTCCCAGGTTCGATTCCAGTCAAGGGCATGTACCTTGGTTGGGGGCACATCCCCAGGGGGGGGGAGGTGCAAGAGACAGCTGATCAATGATTCTCTCTCATCGATGTTTCTAACTCTCTATCCCTCTCTCTTCCTCTCTGTAAAAAAATCAATCATATATATATATATATATATATATATATATATATATATATATAGATAGATAGATAGATAGATAAATTCTTCAGGTGTGGTCCAGCTCAAGGACATCTGGCCCACCCTGACAGAGGGGCTTGCTTGCAAGGTCTGACAAAGCACAAAACATTGAGCAAGTGGTCTGGGTCTCCCAGGCCTTGTAAAGAGCTTCGTTAGTGCCATTCAGGTAACTGAACCAAGCACATCCTCCCTGACACGCTCTGTTGTCCACTAGCCTCTACCTCCACAGACCTGTAAGTGTGCAAAGGTTCAACACGAGGCAGATGGAGCCGAGTGTGGCTGGGCAGCCTTTGAAAGCACACCTTTTACCAGCTTTGAGAAAAGAGAAATGGTGGGGAGTGGGGTTCCCTGAAGACAATAAGATGTTCTTTCCCTAGCTCAACTCCTAGCACCTGCCTCAGGCAGTGTTTTCCTGTGAGAGGGCACCAAGGAAGCTAACACTGCTATCAACCCCTGCCCCTCTGGAAGGTGAGGAAAGCTTCCTAGAGCTTTTCCTGTGTAGCTGCAAAATGCTAGTGGGGTAAGGACAGCTTAACCTATACATTTCTGTTCTAGAGCTATCAATAAATAGACTGTGAGCTTTAGTTTGTAAGAAACAAGTATGCATGGCAAGAGGGCTCACCTTCTGCCATAGGCCTTTTCCCAGCCGAGGTTCAGGTTCTGTGGAAGCTGGAGCCTGCAGTACCTGGTGCCACACCCCTAATGCACCCTTTGCCCTACGCAGTCAGCACTCCTTCAGCCTTGTTTTTAACCAAATACCTCAACATTTGTTAAGCAGTTTTAAGAGGAATTGTTATTCAGAAGACATGATCTAGAAATAGATGGAAATCAGAAACAAATGCCCATCTGCAACCCAAATTAAAACTCATTATCTTGCAGTCAGTCAAAAACAGATGCTACATGAGTGTGGACATTCATCCCAAGGGGGTTAAACTTTCAACCAACAATGAAGCTGGAAATCATAGTCCTGAGAGGTTTACAGTCATCAGGACTGAAGAATTAGTTCTTAAATTTCCTGAGCTCTTGATTCAATGCTCTTCTGAAGAGTTCTCAAACACACCAACTCAAAATTGTCCTGGGGCCTCAGGCAGGCAATAAAGGGTATAGAGAAGGCAGTTCTCTTTTTGACCTAAAGATACTGTTCTTCTCTGAAGCCCCTACTCACTTCTACTGAAAATACAATGTTTCACATGGAACTTTATTGAACTCCTGACCATACAGTGAATGACTGAAGATTCAATGCTGCATATGACCCTAACATGCTCATACAGTCATCCCAGATAGGTATATGGCATTGTCATGACAGAGTCAAGATGGGAAATTAGGAAACTTATTAAGAATATGAGGTGTCAGGAGGGGGTTTCCTAGGTAGATTGTGTCTGGGAGATATAAGACAGATATTGACTTTTATATATGGCATGACATATATAAAATATATATGGCATGACATAAAATACATATGTCATGTGTTTTTTTGTTGTTTTTTTGCCACCACAGGTGGGCAAGAACCAGACCAGCTGAAGTGTCAGTGTTTTATGTTGGACAGAAAGGGGACACAGAGTTGTAGCTTATCTTTTCCCAGAAGTAATGACCCAGAGAGATTCACAGAATAGTGTGGTCTGAAGTCAGAGGACTCCCTACTGGGGACATACCCGCAACCAAGCCCTTAAATAGGGCTCTTTAAGGTCGTATTTTTCCAGCCCTAAGAGCTGCTAAGTGACCAAGCCTTTCTAGAATTTCTTTAGTCTTGTTATAGGATGACATCCCAGCTAAGTATTTTATGCCATATATATATATATATATATATATATATATATATATATATATATATATATATATATTTTTATTCTTTTCTTTCTGTTAGTTTTGTTTGTTTGTTTTTCTGCTACTCCCAACTAGGAGAAAGAAGGTTGGTTTTGTGGGATCTGGCAGAAACAAGGTGACAAACTATGCTACCAGCTCTTGGAATTCTCTAACCCACAGGTCCCATGCAGAAATTCTCTATGTCTGTGCCTCTTAGGGAATTAAATAATTCTCTTTTTGCTTCTAGTGTAGTCTCATGATTTTATTTCTTAAGAAACTTGAGGAAGATTACAGCCTTTGAACTATTTGTCCATCCACTCAGTCATCAGCCCACCCAGGAGCTTCCACGGTCAAGTCAAAGTCACAATGTTCCCCCTGGGCTCCGGGGAAGAGCAAACATCCTCAGATGATTGTTGCACACAGAAAATGAGGGGATGCACCTAAGATGAATACTGGAGAGCTCCCAAGTGGCAGTCTCATTTTCATTCCTTCATAAAAACCATAACAATTCATGATAATTCATGGTTAGCAATAAACACAATCATTGTGCTACACTGTAAACCACACCTTCTGATCGACAGAAAATGAGAATGACAATAATTACTATAAAATAAAATAACAATGATAATAATGCCATAACTTAAGATCTTTCATGTAGTCCAGCTACAGAACGTATACAAAATGGAATAATTTAATGCAAACAATACTGTTCTCTGAATAAGTTAGACATTTTCCTTCATCTTATGCAAGAGCTATAAATTAAAAGACAGTAAATTTTAAATTAATATCTCAACACAAATTGTAAACAAATGAGGGATCAGACAAGCAAAAGGAACTGCTCTCAATTCCCTCCTGCCTTTCCTTTTTGGCTGATGCGATCGGTGAGAACCGGAGGAGGGCAATGTTTCCACCTGCATTGGAATGGTTTAATGCCAGTGCGTGTAAGTCTTCCCTAATGTCCAACACGATGCGGTGTCCAAGACTCTAGCCATCACCTTCAGATCTTGAGCCTAGAGACATTGTTTGACAGTAATCTATCTTGGAGACAGAGACAGGAACTAGGCCAACATCTGTTTTTATGTAAAATTCTATATAAAAATTGGCTTATAGCTGAGGTCCTAGGATGTACCTTGGCATGCTTTTCAGAGCCCATGACCCTGGATAGGAAGGACCTCATGCTTTGGACAAGGCAAAACCTTCCCAATTGCTGCTCAGCATTAGTTGTTCTTTGCACAGAGTCCCAAATCCAATGATTTAAAACTGCATTGATCCAAAGAGAAGTAAAATACGTTGCACAAATAGCTTGGAACAAAAATGCTATCGTGGTGGGATATTGTGGTGGGGGTTGCCTTTGCAACTTGCTTATTTTGCCTGTATTCTGATAGTGGAAGCAACTAAAGCTTTCACGATAGAATGAGTTAATAAGTGAAAACAAGGGGATGGTTTGGGATTGGACAAATTCACACACATCCTAGCTGCCTTCAAAGTCTGTTCTCCTGTTTGAATCAATATGACTCTAGGAGACAAGCAACCTGGTTCCACCTTCACTACGAGCTGAACTGAGAGGTTCTGACAACGGACTAGCACTTTTACAAATCCCACTCTTGCTTTTCTAACGCTGTGGTCAATGTCCTTTTTCTTTATCCTTCTCTTCTCAGCAGCCCCCCTTCTCCCTTTTTCCTAAAGGAAGAGGTCACCAGGTGGAACGGAAATGGCTATGAGGAAATGGCACATTGGTCAAGGTCACACATTTGTCAAGGTAATGGCAATGACAGCATTTTAAAGGTAAATGTTTGTCCAGGAAGATTCGACTCTATCTGTAACTCGCACGACTAAATGCTGCTTAAGATAAATAAAAAAATGAAACCAGTTTTCAAATATACAGGCTTTTTTTTTTCCTCCTAGAGGAAGCACATGCTCTCAAAGACCTTGGGTGCAAGTATCTGGTTACCAAACCTTTCTAGGTAATTTTCCTCACCCAAAGGATAAGCTGGTTGAACTTAAATGCGGTCTGTTCACAAGTTACCTGGAATTGCTTTTCTTTTGCTGTTCTTTGTTTTCTAAAATGCTCAACATGTCTTGCTCTGGCTCTTCTTCAGTCACTTATGGTCAAAAGAACTGGTCCCCTGTTCAAGTAGCAATAATACGTCTTGGCCCCACAAATTACCAAAAATGTTGTCTCTAAATTCTACTTCTTTCTTCCTTCTTTTCTCCTCTCTCTTTTTCCCCCCCAAGAAATTATTGTCTCTCTCTCTCTCTCTCTCTCTCTCTCTCTCTCTCTCTCTCTCTCTCTCTCTCTCTCTCTTTCTCTCTCTCTCTCTATCATATATAGTTCAATCTTTACAGTACAAAGTGTTAAAATGTCAAACAAAAATAAATATCAATGTTACAGTAGCTAGAATATTCAATAAAATAGATCCCTGCCATTCTTGATTGAAATGTTCAGTGAGACTTAGTTTCATTTGGATATTTTTTTTTCCAGAGATTTGCAAAGTCTCATGTTCCTGTTATTGCAGCTTATTTCTAGGGGTAAGAAAGACGGGGCAGCTCTCTTCCCGGACAAAAAGGCAGGGAGAGAGCGGGAGGAATCGGGTGGGGCGGATCTGAAACATCAGTATTGTCACGTCATCTTCAGGATGGGTGTCCTCTCATTACCAAGTAGCAGAGCTGTAGTGTTTATTGGTCCTCACTGTGGCATCAGAACACTCCCCATCTGAAGAGTCACAGTCCGATTCGTCAAACTGCATAGGATTCTGCAAAGTCAAGACAAAAATAAAACCTCAGTTCATGTTCACAGCCACTCATGTATCGAACACATCCCACATGACAGGCTTTGGGCTACAGAGAGGAGACTAGGTCCTATCCTGGTGGGGCTTATGGAAGAAGAAGACATGTGAAGATGATGTTCACGACAATGCTATCAGTACCACCACAACCGCAATGTACAGCGTTTACTATGTTCCAGGCACGGGACATTCCTTGTCAGAGAGCCCATTTTTAGTCCATTTAATCCTTACAACAGCCCCGGGAGATAGATGCTGTTACCATACCCATTTGACAGATAAGGAGACTGACCCATGGAGAATTTAAGTGACTTGCCCAACAGCACACAGTACATAAGTGGAAAGGCTGGGGTTCGATCTGGGCAGTCAGATTCCAGGGTAGATGATTTCAACCACTGTGCTATCCTGCCTCTCAAAAGGCAGCATTGACCATGAACTAAAGTGGTACAGGTGCTTTGATAGCCTCATTAGGGGACAGTGGGCCATGGAAGAGGAAAGTTCAAACCCTACACCAGATTAGCCATGAGGCCAGGAGGAGGTGATGTTTGAGTGCCATCTTGGAAGGGAGGGTTCCTGAGCAGTTCATTGTTGGTGCTTCATTTGGGAGATTTACCCTCATTTTTAGGAGCTCTGTTGCTCTGTGTACTTTTTTTTTTTTTTTAAATAAAATATACTTTATTGATTTTTTACAGAGAGGAAGGAAGAGGGATAGAGAGTTAGAAACATCAATGAGAGAGAAACATCGATCAGCTGCCTCCTGCACACTCCCTACTGGGGACATACCCGCAACCAAGCACATGCCCTTGACCAGAATCAAACCTGGGACCCTTGAGTCTGCAGGTCGATGCTCTATCCACTGAGCCAAACTGGTTAGGGCTACTCTGTGTACTTTTACTTACTTCTTGGAGGCAGTTGTTGTATCTCATATACTCAGTGATCATTGTAAAGGACCTCAGGACCCGAGCACGTCTTAACTCAAAGAGCTACAGGAAGGGGCCAGTGCCGAGAGGAGGAGAGAGGGGAGGCCCGCACCTCATAGCCACGCTGCTCCGCACACAGCTTGCCCAGAGACATCTGTGTCTTCACGCGGCGCACGGCACACTCCTTGTCGGAGAGCCCGTCTGAGTGCGAGGAGATCTCGATGGGAATCTCCGGCGTCTGGGACAGCAGGTCGTCCAGCCTCTCCGCCAGGCGGTCTTCCAGTTTATCAGCAAACTCATCAGGACTGTTGGAGTGGTCACTGGTGTTTCCCTCCTCACCGTCGGACACAGAGAAGTTCTCAGAGCTGAAGGTTGAATACGACTGGCAGCTTCGGATGCAGCGATGGGGCCTAGAACCACAGAGAACCAGAGGAGCTTCACCCCAGGAACCATCACTCTCCTTACCTTGTCCGTCAGCCATAGTCCTGGTGAGAGGCCCTTTAGGGAGATTCCAATCCAGATAGGTTGGGACGATTTAATTTGAAAGTAACCGAGAAGGAAACTTATATGTGGATGTGCCTAACGTCCAAAGCTGAGGGTTTACCATTGGTCTTGAAAAATATCAGCTGATCTAATCATACTGTGTATACCTATGCATGGACATTATCTTTCTTACCGAATCCCAGACTCTCACAGGTGAAAGAGACCTGGGAGATTCTCTGGTCTAACTTATTTCCCAGATTAGAAAACTAGAGCCAGAGAAGGAAAAGGACTCAGGCAAGGTCACCCCATTAGAAAAGGCGGAGCTGCGGCGTGGGTGGATCTATTCAAACTCTGTTCAGTGTCTTTCTCTACCTCACTCCATCCCATCGGATCACCCATTCAGCTGCTTCACCCACCGGGCACGGCAGCCTGGGGGGAGTGCCTTCACCACCCTGTCAACCCAACTCCAACATGAGAGAGCTTGGAAGCAGCATTCACCTTGCAGCTGGGGATCTTGCCCAGCCAGCCAGTGGCTCATTCCAGTTAACACTGGGGTTTCGTTCTGATAAAGGCAAAGTTTCAGGGCTGGTGGGGGTGAGGGGATGGAGGGAGAGGATGTAAGGAGGGGAATTTGCAAAAGTTCCTCACTTCTTTCCCATGGTTTCCTTTTCCAAAGGAAACTAATTCAAGTCGCTTAGTAAAGAAGAATGCTGTCAGCTTATACTGGTTTAAAAACAAAACAGAACCGAAACCGGTTTGGCTCAGTGGTAGAGCATAGGTCTGCGGACTGAAAGGTCCCAGGTTCGATTCCAGTGAAGGGCATGTACATTGGTTGCAGGCACATCCCCGGTAGAGGGTGTGCAAGAGGCAGCTGGTCGATGTTTCTCTCTCATCGACGTTTCTAGCTCTCTATCCCTCTCTCCTCCTATCTATAAAAAAAATCAATAAAATATATTTAATAAATAAATAAATAAATAAATAAACAAATAAATAAAAACAGAACAAATAACAAAAGAAGACTGCCTTTTCCCTCTGGCGTTGTCTGATTTGTCTGTATTTCTCAGTACAAAGTGATTTTGATGGCGGATGATCTGAACCTGGCTGATGACCAGGCCAGGGCGTGAGCTGTGGGTGGGGGATCAAAGTCACATAAAAAGAGCCGGTGTGGGAAAGGCAAGTGAAGGGAAGAGTCACACAACTTCTCAAGGCTGGTAATCCAGAAGGGAGACAGAGAGAAGAATGTTATAAAAAGCAAAACCATGTGGTGAAAATGCAATTTGCATCATAGCAAAAGAAGGTGGGACGCCATCAGGTGGGCTGCGTTCATGGCGTGTCATAGGAACAAAAGCTGCAGGTAGCATCATTGTGACGCTCGCGAGTGATTTCGTTTTATCAGGCGCAGTCTGGTTGCATAGGAAGAAACTACTGTTCACTGCAGGTATAGCTCAGATGAGAACATATTTCAATTTTGTGTGGATCGTGGGGACCCAGAATACAATTTACCAAAGGCCTAGGAGAGCCTTCGATTGCAGGAAATTCCTGTTTCTGGGCAGGTACACAAGTCTTCCTGGGATGCTTAGAGCTTTACTTTTAAAGAACAAAATGCCTATTGGCAGGAAAGGCCTCGTGGGAGGAAAACTGTCTTTCCTACTCCTGCAGAGGAGCAGCCCTATCCTACATGGAGAGGAATGTGTGGTCCTTCTGGAATCCTCCAAGCAAAACTATTATCGCTGACTAAGCAGGAAGCTCTTTCTAAGGCTGGGTTGAAGGAGGACTCAGCTCAGTATAATCTAATTATACCAGGTGTACCGGTTAATAATGTGGATTTTGTAATCAACGAAAACACGATAATTTCAAGAGAAACATCAAAAGTGCTTTATTCAAAGTAATGTCCATCGCTAGCTACACATTTCCCCCATCTTTCAGGTAACTTGTGGATACCGTCCCAATAGAATTTTTCTTGTTTTGAGGCAAACTATTCAGAGACCCAATTTTCCACTTCTTCGTACGTTTTGAAGTGCTGCTCAGAAAGTGTGTGTGACATCAATCGGAACAAGTGGTAATCTGAAGGAGCAAGGTCTGGTGAATATGGCAGGTGGGTTAATACTTCCCAGGCAAGATCTTTTAACGTGTTTTTAATTGGTTTTGAAGTGTGTGTGGTGTGTTATCATGAGGCAAAATTACTTTGCCATTTCTTCTGGCACATTCTGGTCGTTTCATGATCAAAGTGTGTTTCAAAGTGATTATTTGTTGTCAGTTGCTACCAGTATTAATGGTTTCACCTGGTTTTAGAAGCTCATAATACATCACACCTTACTGATCCCCCCAAATGCAGAGTATTGTCTTCTTTCTGAAGCAATCTGGCCTTGCAGTCGATGTTGATGATTGACCTGGATCAACCCATGATTTTGTGCATTTTGGATTATCAAAATAAATCCACTTTTCATCTCTAGTCACAATTTGATGCAAAAAAATATTTTCTTTTGTGCCATTGAAGCAACATTTTACTGATGACTTTTTGGTTTTCCATTTGTCTTTTGTTCAGTTGATGTGGCACCCATTTTCCTTCCTTTAAAATCTTTCCGATTGCTTGTAAACAATTGAAAATTGTTTGCTGAGCAACACTTAATCTTTCTGCAAGTTGTTTTTCAGTTTGACACACATCTTCATCCAATAATGCTTGTAATTGTTGGTCTTCAAACTTTTTTGGTTGACCTGGATGTTCTTTGTCTTTCACATTGAAATCATCACTTTTAAAGGGTTTAAACTAGCGTTCACAAGTATCTTGAGATGGAGCATGCTCACTATAAGCTTCCTGAAGTATACAATAACTTTCAGCCGCACTTTTCTTCAAAATAAATTAATGAATTAAAACTCCCTGCAAATGCTTTTTTTTGATGCAAAATTCGACATTTTTAAGCATAAAAATATCTATGATCTTAACACCTTCAATAAATTTGACATATGAAGTTTTGAAGCTTGCTGTCAATATAACAAAACAGCATACATATCAAAGTGTATATGTATCAACATATGTGTAACTCCATCTATTGAAAAAAATCTGAATTATTAACCGGTACACCTGGTAATCTAAATAGAGGCCTGACGCACAAAATCGTGGGTGGTTATGATCCCTAGGCCTCACCTGTGATCAGGGCCATCTTCCCGGGCTGCTGACAGCCAGCCCTGTCCCCGCTGCCACCCACCTCAGTTCCCCACCTCTGCTGTGGGCCACCTTGTGTGTGGGGGGCGATGGGGCGACCAGTAGGGCATGGGCCATGGCCTGGTGCCACCTGCACCCTGCCACCCACGCCAGTTCCCAATTTGCTATCGGTAATTGAAACCTGCCAGATGGGGAAAGGGACTGAGAGGTGGTCAATGCACCTCCTCGTGACTGGTCAAGTGGTCTTTCTGCCATTATGGTCACTGGGCTTTTATTGTATAGGATTATAATTAACCAAGTTATAATTAATTATACTAGAGGCCTGGTGCCATAATTCATGCACAAGGGGGGGGCGTGCCCCTCGGCCCAGCCTGCACCCTCTCCAATCTGGAGCCCCTCTCACAATCCAGGACCTTCTCTCATAAACTGCCCACTATATTCTTAATTGTAACCTTGAAACTGTATTTATTCTTGTCTTGAAATTCCTATGAAATGAATTCTGATAAACTGGGACTGGCTGTGCATAGCCAGATGCCAAAATGTGGGAACAGGAGACCATATGCATAGTGAGTTCAAGTTTCCTTACAAGGGGGCTGTTAGAAAGTAATATGCAATTGAACCAGAAGTGGCAATCTCAGGGTTTTCCCGATTACACTGAAAGCAGTCACACGTTTGATTATTTTACCTCTGTCTTCTCGGAAATTCAACTTCACTATCCACTTCCCCTTCTTCCTCTTCTGAGGACTCATCTCCACTCTAAAGAAAACCAAGAAAAAGGAGTTTATTTCTCTCTCTCTCTCTCTCTCTCTCTCTCTCTCTCTCTCTCTCTCTCTCACACACACACACACACACACACACAGATTCCTTGCAAATATTTAGTCATCAAAAGGCATTGAGTAGTAGCTTGCCGAGTGTCATCTTTAAACATACATATCTTCACTCATTCTTTTAGCAACTTTTCCTGGGTGTCCATGGTGATAGGCGTTGCACTAGATGCTGGAAGACATCCAGAACTGAATAAAACATATATTTGCCCTCAGGGAGGTGAAGCCTCCATCAGCATGTCCAGAGGGGAATGACAGAATGACAGAGAGGGGAAACTGAGGAAGAGGTCTTGGAGTGGCTTCAGGCTCATGTAATCATTGTCACTAGTACCCTGTTTCCCCAAAAATAAGACAGTGTCTTATATTAATTTTTTCTCCCAAAGCTGCGCTAGGTCTTATTTTCAGAGGATGTCTTATCTTTCCATGCACTAGGTCTTATTTTCGGAGGATGTAGTTCCAGGCTGTCATAGAGACTTCACCAAGGATCTTCCCATTGTTCAAAGCCCAACAACTGCTTTTCCCCCTTTCACATACCAATCCCCTTTTCACTGACATGGTAGTCATTATGCATGTATCATCTTCACTCCTAAGACACACATCATTTGAGTTAGACCACATCTTGTTGTACTGCACCCCTCACTCCACCATGAATACAGCGCCGCCTATAGAGCAGGTGCTTAGTATATACATTACTGAGTCAGCATGTTGGCCGGACAAGGGTCGTCAGAGGCCTCGTGGTGGTGGGGTTCTGTGGTTGATCTGAAAGGCTGGATAAGTGTTCTGAATGAGTAAATGATCTTCCCTCACAAAGAAGCTTCCATTTCTCTTCAAGGGCACAAAAGTAGCCACACTCACACCGACTGTCCTTAACCACAGCGACACTGTGTACATTACTACAGTCCCTGTGAGGTGGGCAATGGGTTCCAAGAATTGCACCAAAGATTGAGGATAACGTGCTTTGAAAGTCAGTTCTAAACGTCACTCTTACCTACTTGCATTTGGATGCTTTCTGAGTAGGAAACACAGGGATGGAGGTACCCTGACTGCTAAGATGAGCCCTTTACCACAGAAGTGCACATGGGAGTATATGTCGGTAGACAGAAGTCCAGCTGCTCTCTGGGAGTGAGGTTCTAATGAGACCAAATGTATAAGGTGTGTGCTATGTGGCTGGCAGACTCATAAAAGGCAGCATGTTCAAGTAGGTGAGGGAAAAGCTGGATTATACTAGGTTTCTGCATGATTTCTCAAAGTCTAGGACTTGCTAATGTACACTAGGAGTTTCCGGAGGGGACAGAGAATACACTGTTAACCAAACCTGTTTTATAATTGGATTTTTCCTTCTTGCAACATCCTTCAGGATTGGGCTAGAGTAGTGGTTTCCAAACAATTTTGATTTCATATCCCTGATATATGGTTGTCTATTTATAAATGATGTACACTTTAATCGGTCCACTGGTTCAGTACTCCAAATGCATTTCTAAGTCCTTCACTTAAGCAGTGTGAAAGGAAAATATTGAGAATAAAAAAGCTCCTGTTTATTCTCTTGTGAGCTCATCCCTTTACAGAACGTGAACTTGTTACGCATGCTTTACAATGCACCTACCAGGACGGGCTCTGACATCCACGAAGGCAGGGGCGCCCCCCGCTGACCTTACCTTTTGAAGGGGCCTTGTTTTTCGAGGTAGCGCTGGTGGGGTGATGTGATGAGGGACGCCCGGGGACGAGGCAGACCTACAGCCATTGAACTCATTTTCTTCCATTTTCTCAGAACCTTGGGCGTTTTCTGAGAGGAGATTGTGTGCTGGTGACTTGAAAAGGTCGGGACTCCCCACCGGCTCAGCAAAGGGACCGTCTAGGGGCCCGCACTGCTCCGGCCTGCACTGGACGCAGGGGTCATAGGGGTCAGCTTGGCAGCAGCCCCAGGGGCCGGCCTGGCCCTGGGCCGGCTCAGAACTTCTCCAGCCGTCTGCTGCCACGGCCATGGAGATGAGGTCAGGGCTGGAGCCAGGCATCTGTCTCTGAGCGTGGTTGCTGAGCGGGCTCCGCAGGGCGGCCGCGGGGCCAAAGTACCTCAGGTTGTTGGCGCAGGTGGCAATGTCCTGGCCGTGCACAGGGAGCCTGGGGTGGTGACTCTGAGACGGGGCGGGTGGGGGCTGCTGGTACTGCTGCTGCAGAGAGGGGTGCTGGGATGGAGCCTGGTGCGGGTACGTGGAGTGGGGTGAGTGGTCGGGGGCTGGCTGGTTTTTCAAGATTGCTGCGAAGTCACTGTGGCTGCCTCGGCTGTTCCCCCGGCGGTGGCGTGGTTTGCTCCGATACCGGCTCTTGCCGCCCGAGGTGGACATTTTGGGGCTTCCGGACAGAGGGGACGCAGCGGGAGCCACCTCCACGCTGGGGATGCCCTCTGATCGCAGCAGATCTGGCCTGGGGGCACAGAGCAGGCTTAGTTTTAAACACATGAAAATACACATTCAGGTTTGGGGAACTCTGTCCCAAGCCTTCAAACACATCTCTCAGAATCAGCAGTGATGAGGAACCCAGAGCCCAGCCAAACTGGCTCATGGCCCATCGCTCATTCCTGGCAGAATCCAGACCAGAAGTGTCAGGCTTATTATTGTAGATACAGTTTAGCTTGAAAATGCGTGCATGCCACTTGGGATTTTGTTAAAATGACTGAGTAGGTCTGGGATGGGGTCTAAGGGTCTGCATTTCTAACGTGTTCTCTGACGATGCTGAGCTGAGGGCCTAAACTTTGAAGAGCGAGGGCTTAGAGGAAATTAGCCGACACCAGGCAGTAGGAGGTGGGTTTTCCTTTTCTTTCAGGAGAAGTACAGTGTAAGGCTTGCCTTAGCACAGAAGTTTCAGAAGTTACTGGTTTATGATAAGTTAGTATGCTGCTCTCAGCAGCTTCCTGTCTCAGATTCAGTTCCATGGTCAGTTGACCAGCTTGTGCCTCAAACAGTATCAGATGGAGGAGGCACTGGGGCTTGTGTTGAGGCAAGAGGGCCCTCAAAGCTAAGTTAGGGGCACCTATTTACTCGGAGGCTGGCTATGGTGGCATCTAAGAGAGCTGAGGAGAAAGTGTCCTAAGTCAGGTGAAGGCTGCTGTCATGGCAGCTGTCAGCACAAACATCACAGAGTAACATTAACACAGCACTTCACAGATGACAAAGCCCTTTGCATTATAGAAACCACTTGTTTCCTACTATTACAATATTTGTTTAAAAAAGAAAGGCACTGAGGGATCAGAGAGGTTAGTTGTCTTGTGTCCGTCACAAAGCAAGTAAATGGCAGAACTCAAAAACTGACCCCAAGTCTTTTGACTCTGAGGAATAGTCCTTTCCCCCTTCCAAGCTCCTGCTTATTCTAAGGTATGTAGACGATCTTATTGGCCTGTACTCACTTGTGACAGGCTTGATGGATCTGTAACTGAACTCTGGCTCTCTTCTTTCTAGTCCTTGACCAAATACACCCTGAAACCTAGGCTAACGAATGGTGGATGGTTTCTCCTCTCTGTTCTCCTCAGAGGTCATTGGCCTTCTGGTTTGATAATCATGGAACTGTCCAAATAATCTGAAACTTAACTCCATTAAGGGGCAAGCAGCTGAAAATACAACTCTTCACAGCCCTAGTACCCATCTAGGTTACTGTCTAGACAAATATTCAGTTAGCTTATAGAATAAGCATCTGCTGATGGTGTCAAACTCCTTCAAACACATTTCCCATAGCACATGAGCTCATATTTTGTAAAAGTAAACATGAGCTCATATTTTGAAAAAAGGTACTATTCCTCCCCACCCCCACCCCCACCCCCACCCCAATGCTCTTAGTTTTAACTATAGGCAGAATGCAGAGAGGACCAGCAGGCGGATGTGGCCCCTATTTAGGACACCCAGAGAAAGAGGTGTTGGGCTTCCAGGAGGGTTTTGGAGGTACTCTCTGAAAACAATTTATCAGAATTTGACCAGATGATAGTCAGGAGTGGTAAGTAAAAGCAAAACTCGAGTTAATCCATGGAACTGCTCACTTGTAGTTCAGATTTACACTCGTCATGGTCTCTGGCCACCATTCTGAAAGCCTTAGAATAGATTCTTGGTTTGAATTTTTCATTACTTTTATTCTTATTGCATTTAGATCAAGTCTCACTGTTGGGTTAGGGACATTCCTTTCCATTAACTTAGCTAGGACAAAACCGACTCTCCATTATTTGGGAGGAATGCGGCTCTAGCAGAACTTGGTAAAAAAAATTGACTGAAAGGGCATTTTAAGGTTAAACTAATTCAGTATTTTAGATCTGTGGTTAGGGTCAGAGTTTGTAGTGGACTGAATCAGGTTATATGTGGATTTCCCACAAGCAGGTGATTGGCACTCCTAATTTCCACATTGCTCAAGGGCCAACGGTATAATTAGGAAAAAGGACAATCTTAAAATAAATAAATAAATAAATAAAAAACCACACAAAAACTATTAAAAAAACCCACTTTTTGAGTACCTGCGATTTATTAGGTGACCTCATATATTGTCTTATTTAAACTTCACAAAAGTCCCTTGCAAGAGTGGAATGAGGGGAACCATATGGGTAGATAGAGGTAAAAATCAAAGCCGCTTTGGTAGCACGCACGTGAACATTGGATGATACAGAGAAGACTAGCATGGTCCCCATGCAAAGATGACCCACAAAATTTGTGAAGTGGGAAAAACCCCCACAAAACACAAAGTCCCTGCCTTCATTTTTTTTGTGTGGTGGATTAATGGGCACTTATTACATTGTTAAAATAACTAACTTGCCCTTACTGGTTTGGCTCAATGGATAGAGCATCAGCCTGAGGACTGAAGGGTCCCAGGTTCAATTCCGGTCAAGGGTGTGTATCTTGGTTGTGGGCACATCCCCAGTAGGGGGTGTGCAGGAGGCAACTGATGGATGTTCTCTTTCATTGATGTTTCTAACTCTCTATCCCTCTCCCTCTCTGTTAAAAAAAAAAAAAAATCAATAAAATATATTAAAAAAGTAACTAAGTGAATAAATAAAAGTAGGTCATGTGTGGACCAATGTTGCCTAAATTGAGAATTATAATTAACCCGATTCTGTGCATTCAGAGCCAAAGAAAGAGGAAATCTCATGTCCTATAGTTATACCATTTACCATGGGGCTGAAAGAGGGCAACTGACATAGCCCAAATCACACAGCTCATAATGGGCCTAGCCAGGATTCAAACCCGGGTCTGTTTGCCCTACACCACCCCCCACTCCCTATCCCGCCCCCATTATTTCTCCTTTCACTGTTCCATGCTAAGAGAATAAATATCTATGCCTCAGATAGTAAAACATGGGCCCTACGGTCCATGATACACTTTCTCTCAGCTTCCCACTTTGTTGTATCTAGAGGCACGTGTGCTAATGATAAGCTATGGTGGCCACACCACCATCACCGGATAATGTATTTTTAGGGAGCTACGTCCCCATTTCTCTGAACCAGGTCAGCACAAGCGTCTCACCGTTTGGTCTGCACCCCAGGTTTGTGAGGCACGCCTTTCCTTTTCATGAGCTTCTCCATGGCATTGGAGTGGATTATTGGACGGACAGGGTGCCGCTTGTAGGTCCCAGGATACTTCTTTTCCACGGCTTGCTCACGCCTGCAGAAAAAAAGAAAAGAAAAGCTCATCCCAGCCATCGCAGACAGAAAAGACGGGCACAGGCTAATTCCACCCACAGAGTCAGGCCACACTTACCAGGCGCAGGCCATTTGAATAACAAAGTTGCTATTCGGATTAAAGGGGGATAGAAAAGATACTAAATTCAACCTAATCTGATTTCTTTTGTCTTTTTTTTTTTTTTTTTTTGGAAGTTGTAGTGTCTTTTAATATTTTTCATTTTTTATTAAGGTATTGCATGTGTACATATCTTACCATCAACCTAATCTGATTTCATTTTGTTCTTCAGCTCATAGATGAGCTCAGAGACGGATCTTCCCCTCCACAGTACATCTCATGAGAGACACAATGCAATGGTAGAAATCCTGCTAATTTCAGTAGCCGCTGTGCTGGTCAGGACTCTGGGATTTTCTTGCCATTCTCAGGAATACCCTAACCCACCTGCAGAAGCCACCTCACTTCCCCAGCGGGCAATAAGCCCCCACTCAACAACATCCAGCTCTCCATGAAATGTCACCCTTCTCTGAGCCACTCAGCAGGGTGAAGTGGCAAGTAGCTGTCAGTGCATGCTCCCCCAGGACCAGCTCTGGGGCAACTCCACTCAACCAGAAACCTCCCCAGGGCCAGGGACTGTGCAACCTCGCTCCCCCCCCACACTCAAGAAATGTTGAGTGAATGAATAAGACATCTGCCAGTTCTGAGTAGCAGCAACATTTCTGCTGATGGATAGACCACATCAACAAGGACAGACAGTGGTCTGGGTGCGTACTTGATGAGCTCCTTCTCCCGCATTTCCAGCTGCAGCATGATGGCACTCAGCTCCATGTATAAATTATTAGCCCGCTCAAGTTTTCTCTCGTAGTGTTCACGAATATCCAAAGCATGCCTGTCAAAGAAAACACAGGATCAGTGAGATAACCAATTTGGGGGAGGACAAAAGTCAGCGCTCAGGAAGTAAGAACCAGAATGGTCGATCTCAAAAGCATTTGCCCAACGGACCCCTAGATGAAAGGCTCCCTAGTCCGATGCAATGACTGGGAGTGGGAGATGGAAAATTCAAGCTTTCCATTTGGTTTATCCCTAGGGGCCATATCTAGCCATACAGAATAGCCAGGAGGGCCACAGATAAAATGTGAATGGGATTTGTGTATAATTTGTAACCTTTGTGTAGCATTGACAATATCATAAGAAGAATACAGTATAATTCATTGTTTATGGAAATATGCAGTTGGAACTGACACCATGATCACTCATTTATATGTATCTATGGCACAGATCCTGCCTAATTATAGTGGTTATCTATGAATATGTCTTGCATCCCTTAAAATATAATAACCATCTTGAGACCAGAGACCACATCTTATAAGTTTCTGGCCTTCCATGTCACCTAGGACAGGGGCTGAGTGAACAAATAGCATTGCTCTGAGAATCTTCATTGCAGAGATATAATAAAATAGGATAACAGAGTTGAGGGTGGGGGTGAGAAGGGGAGGATAAGCCAGTGATATAAAGGAGAGCAAATCTGAAAGAGAATAACAATAACAGCACAGGAAAAGGTGTGTAGAAAGTGAAGTGGTGATTCATAAAGTTCCTGCTAACGTCTGGAGACCCGGGGATGCGAAAAGGGGGAGGAGAGAGCATCTGACCTGAGCTCTTCTCGGCGTCTTCTAATCAGCTCTTCATCCAAGCGGTGTATACACGTCCCTTCACTTTTGATCTTCTCAAAGTGTTTCTTCACTTCTTCTCTCCATTCAGCCTGGGTGAGGATAAATTAGGCTTTGTTAATATTGTAGGAGTTTCAAACAAGATTCCCCCCCCCCCCCCTGTAGGCTTCTCCTGAAGAACTTTATATGATAGAATAGATGTTCAATTAATATTAGTCAACATCAAAATACCTCATGAAAATGTACCTGCACACCATACCCCACTCCATTTTCTGTAGTTAGTCCAACATGCGATGCCATCTCTTTCCCAGTTTCCTGGGCCACTAGAACCATCACAGCTAACATAACAGCTATCACCTCTGCAAGTCAAGAGGGCAGCAGAGAAAGCCTGGCCAGAAAGGACAGCTGTGATAACTGTGTGTGTGTCTATTGTACAATATATATGCCTAAGTGACCAAATGACCGAACGACCCAATGACCCAACACCAGTCCACCGGTCGCTATGACGTGCACTGTCCACTAGGGGACAGACGCTCAGCACACAGGATCGGGCGCCCTCCTGTCTGGATTGGCCCTGCGGATATCAGGTCAAAACCGGCCATCCGATATCCCCTGAGAGGTTCCAGATTACAAGAAGGCTCAGGTGAGGCTGAGGGCCTCTAGTATGTTACAAGTGCCTGTCAGTGAGAACATGAGCATCTTTACAACTGGCACCAGCATTCCTCTTAGGTTCTGTGTATGAAAAAACTTGAAAAAAATATTTGGAGGAGAAGACCTAAGGGGCATGATAGCAGGTAATGGGAATAAAAATACAGAGAATTATACAGGAATTTGGGAGTGAGGGATTGAACAAAAAAGAGTATGGCTAAATAGTTTAGTAGGCTGATAAAATACTTAAGACAGAAAGGATGTCTAATATTTGATTTAAATTGTTCAAAATGTAAGTCGTTTCCAATGTCCTACATCTTTAGAAAAGTCTGTTGACATTCACCTTAACTTTGCATACATGTTTTTGTTTTCTTAGACATTAAGAAAAGGTGCTGAACTTCAGGGAAAGGCATGGGGGTCAAGAATTTTAGGAAAGTAGAGCCAGAGTGACAATGAAATTATAAATCTCCAGTAATTCACAGGAGTATTAGGACATTGGATTTTTCATAGGGCATGTAATTTCAAGCCAATTTTATCTAAATTTTAGGGGGCAGGGAAACCTCTGCTGGAATATAGTCTATATAGGTAGTTTCTCAAAAAAAAAAATAGCTAAGGATATATTTCCTCCAATTATGTATAGACTACCATCCCTGGAAGCTAATGAGGTTAATGTAACTTCCACTAAATGTTTCCAATTGCATAATATTCCTCTAGAGCAGTGGTTCTCAACCTTTCTAATGCCGCGACCCATTTATACAGTTCCTCATGTGGTGGTGACCCCCAACCATAAAATTATTTTTGTTGCTACTTCATAACTGTCATTTTGCTAGTTATGAATCGTAATGTAAATATCTGTGTTTTCCGATAGTCTTAGGCGACCCTGTAGAGCCTAGATCTTCATGTATATGTTGACTCTGACTGACAAAAATTGACTTTTGTGCACCAAACCTGCCAAACAACGCTGTCAGAAAGCCAAGGTCCAGAATGTGCTATTATTTGATAGCAGTCTTTGATAGTATCCTATATAATAAAAGCCTAATATGCAAACTGACCAAACAGCAGAACGACTGGTTGCTATGATGTGCACGGACCACCAGGAGACATATGCTCAACACAGGAGCTACCCCCAGCCCACAGGCCCCAGGCCAGCCAAGGCAGGTGCCAGTGGGGGTCCCCTGATTGCTCCGCTGGTCGCCCCACAGATCAGCCCTGATCGCGGGCCAGGCCTAGGGACTCTACCCATGCATGAATTTTGTGCACTGGGCCTGTAGTCTAAGCTATAAATGCAGGTTTGAGTGAGTCCCAGGCAATGCTGTTCTTTCAATCATCAGATCAAAATCATGAGATAGAAAGAGTATTGAGCTTTAAGAGGCCAAAGATTGACAATCAAGAGTTGTTAGACCAAAAAAGAAATAAGGGAGAGAGTCAAACTTAGGCCTTAAAATGTCTTCTTCTGCAGAAACCGGTTTGGCTCAGCGGTAGAGCATCGGTCTGCGGACTGAAAGGTCTCAGGTTCGATTCTGGTCAAGGGCATGTACGCTGGTCAAGAGGCAGCTGGTCGATGTTTCTCTCTCATCGACGTTTCTAGCTCTCTATCTCTCTCCCTTACTCAAAAAATCAATAAAATATATATTTTTTAAAAATGTCCTATTCTTACGAAAACCTGTCAGTGATTCCAGTACAATACTTAAAGGAACCAGGAAAGGAAATAACTCCATCTGGTGGTGAGGAATGAGATATAGCAGATCTATTTATTATTTTTTAAAAATAAATCTTTATTGTTAAAAGTATTACCTATGTTCTCTTTTCCCCACCTATTTATTTTTTAATTCTAGAGAAAAATAAACCTCTTGATATTTTGCTTATGGGGTTATGGGTTAGGGAAAATTTAAAGAGAACCTTTTGAAGATGGAAACCTATTAAAAAAGTGAATTTCCAAAAAGAAGTTCCCTCCTTTGAAGAGGGAACAGGACATGTGGGGAAACAGCAGGTACTGATTAATCATGCTTTCCCCACAGGTATCATGTGACTAAGAGATGTTAATTTTGGAGTTCCATCACATATACTTAGTATCTTTATGTAATAGGAATTCCAACTGGCACTGACTCTGCAACTCAGACATGTGTGGGCATATGTGAAGCCAATTTGACAGAGACCGAGGAGCCTCTGACAGAAAACAGTTGTGCAGGAAAGATTCCTGCATGAATGTGACCTATAAAAAAAGCCACCATCATTGGGGAGGAGCGGCATTTTCCACTGTTTCACTAAAATACCTGTAAGATGTTGCCATAACCAGCTTTGCCCCATTACTTTTAACAAAGTGAAATCAACAGGAAAGGAAGAGTTCGTTGTGTAAACAGGACAAGGTGCAGCTTTGGAATCTTGTAAAGAGGAGTAAGCTGATGTCTAGAAAATGTAGTGAGTTATCCAAGATCACAGGTCAGGAGTTTAGACTTAGGGCCTAATTCTAGAAACTAGCAAGGACAGCAGATTTTGGGCTCTTTAAGGAGAGGTAAAATTTTATGTTGGGAGAAAAATGTGGAAGAATTAATGAATATTAAAAGATATCCAGTGTACTAAGGTTTTCTTCTGTCTTCCTTCCCTTCCCCTCTTTTTCTTCTCCCTTTCATATTCTTGCTCCAAAAGAACCTTTTCTTTTCTGAGTTCATCTGTGCTATATATGCTGCATCTTCACACATTTAGCACTGCAAGTGCTGATAAAAGTGAGTTTGTACAAGTAAAGACACCAACTGTGGGTGCTGAGTTGCACCATATCGTGCTTTGCTGGTGAGGGCTCAGAATGTGTTGCACTGGCTAAGAAGTGATATTCTGGGAGCACTCAAGTGAAATCTGCTTAGAAATTGAAGTTTTCCAAGTTTATACAGTTATATGGTCTCAACAGCTTGTGACTAAGCATGCTCACAAAGAGTGCTTTTTAAAATTGTGGTATGTATAGTTTTATAGTTACTGTATAGTGAGGGAAGTAAAGCTGCAATTGCAACCATACCCTACGCTTGAAAGACTTCCTAGAGAGCGTTCACTATTATTCACTTTCATTTCACAAAAGGCCCTAGGATTTTTTTATTTTATTTTTTTCGGAGCACTAACAGCTATTTGACAGATTTCTTCTCCAGATGTAATGGTTTTAAGGGAGTTTACCCGAATGCATTCCAAAGAACAGAGGAAGTGGTATGAAGTCAACCTCCTACATCCTCTTATTTTCTCTCAGATCAAACACTTTTCTTACATAGTAATTCCTTAGAAACACTAAAAAGCTTCAGGGGCAAGTCTGACTAAAGATTTAAAGACACAGTTGTGGGAAGAGCTAAGTTTGTGGCTCCATAGAAAGTATATTGGAACCTTTGGGCAGGATAAGAGTCTCTGACTTACCTTTCCTTGGGAACTGCCAGAAGCCCTGTGACTTCATTAAGAAATTCCCAATGTCTGGTGGGCAGAGTATCTCTGTGTCTGTCCAATATCTGAGAAGCATGCACTCTGAGTCTTGGGTAGGGCAGGCAGTAAGACATATTGGAGGACTTGTTTAACCCCCAGGACGATGCCCCTCTCAGTCCAGCCCTCGTTTCAACACAGACTTTCCTGGTGGGTAAGTGCACCCTCACTGCAGATGGGGGGCTATGATGAATAGTTTGGAACACCGATGGGTGATAAAATGTCTTCTCTGAGAATGAATCTTTGAAATGATACTGGAAAATAATGTGGAGTTGGAATTCATCTTACAAAAATTCACTTAGAAGCACAGTACCATGAGTGAGACAAAGCTACCTGAAAAGAAATTAGGTAATACTGTTGTGAAATCCTGGGGGCATAAAGCTATAACTTAGGACCATCACACTTATTTCAAAAACCATAGTCTCACCCCATTTTGCTCCTTGTGCTATTACCTGGGTCTGGGAAGGACGAGGACCTCACGTACACATATCTCCCACCACTCCCTATCCAGGCTGATAGTGGTTGGACCACCAATCCCTATGACGAGTGTAGCGTTTACATTTAATAGTCACACATTCTTTCCCTCTCTGCATCTATCAAAAGGTGATGTCTCATGCCAAAACTGGTTTGGCTCAATGGATAGAGTGTCGGTCTGTAGACTGAAAGGTCCCAGGTTCGATTCTGGTCAAGGGCATGTACATTGGTTGCAGGCACATCCCCAGTAGGGGGAGTGCAGGAGACAGATAGTCGATGTTTCTAGCTCTCTATCCCTCTCCCTTCCTCTCTGTAAAAAATCAATAAAATATATTTTTTAAAATTTAAAAAAAAAAAAGAGGTGATGTCTCTTTCTCCTTCTGGGTTGGCCTGTGACTTGTGTTAGCCAGGGAGACGGTTAGCACACATGATACACACATAGGCTTAAATATCACCTGTGCACCGGGGCTTGCCCCTTGCTGCATTTGTCACCCCGAGAACACAGTGTGAACAAGCCCCAGCTAGCCTGCCAAGGACAGGAGGCCACGTGGAGAACTGAGGTGCTCTAGCTAATAGCTAACCGGCAGTCAGACTTGAGAGTGAGGCCATCTGGAACCTGCCAGCCTCCCAGCTGACCTTGCAATGGGCGGCAGACGTGTGAGCGAGCCCAAAGCCAGCAGAACTTCTAGCCCAAATTACCAACCCACAAAATCCCGAGCCAAACAAAAGCTTATTGTGTTAAGCCATATGTTTTAGAATGGCTTGTAGTACACTAAAAGCTAACAGACACATTAAATGGTATTTTATTGGGTGCTATTAAGTGACATATAAAGTTAGAGAAAAGGTTCTCTCTGGGCTCTTTTTGGTATTTAACGTCCCTCCTCTGTACTGTCATTTTTTTCTTCTTCAAAGAGAGTCATACGTTCATGAAGTTCAGTAATAATTCTAATTTGCATATATGTACATTACACTTTGCATATCTTCTTTTCCTCTTTTCTCTTCAACAGTTTCACCAGAACCCATTGTGAAGATCAGATTCTGATACACACCCTTTCCAAACGAGAGAATACTGTGTGTGCTCAAGAAACTCCAAAAGGTCAAATGTGTGAGTATCACAGTGACTGTTGCACAATGAATGGAGTTATATAATTGCTGTAAGGATCAGAATGGCTCTCGTCTAAGAATTACTTTTTCTCACTGACAGCTCCTTGTCTGTCCGTTCAGTAGCAGTACCTGGCAGAGTTTCCAACCTTACCTGAGACTTGAAGTAAGTTTCCTGTGGGGTGGCAAGAACATCCGCCGACGCAATGTCCAAATGCATGAGTGTCTGCCGGAACGAAGGTCGGTTGCGAGGTTTACTTTGCCTAAATGTAGAAAAAGGCAGCTTGTGCGTTTCAGAAGGCATGTCCAGGAGGATAAAGAGTTCATTCTATTCTGATAAAAATGAGAGCCAGTTGTGACTCCAGGCATGGCCTTTCCTCGGGCAGTGATGACAAAATGAACATCAGTGACCTGTTTGATAACCATCCCTTAGAGCTGGTAAAGTAATAACAGCTATTATTTACTAAGGCCTACTATTTCAACAGGTACTACATTCTTTATTTACAAGTAGTTCCAAGGCTCCTGGTTTTTATACTACCAGGTGAATCACTCCCAATACACATGAGAGACTTCCCTGCAGTTCTGAAGAAGTTTCAAATATGGTTTTGAGGAGGGAGTTAAAATAGAATGTTGGGAGAAATGTATTTCTTACCATGTTTGTTTCATAAGGATTTTGAATCCATCAGGGCAAGTGGAAGGAACTGGAAGGTGTAGGCTGTTGCTTCCAACACCCCAAATGATGGCCGAAGAGTCTACATCTTTGTAAGGGATCTCTCCCGTCAGCAGCTCCCACAGCACCACGCCAAAGGACCTGCAGTGGCACCAAGAACACGCGCAGAAGGTGTTTCAGAAAGGCTCGCTTGTATTTTAGTTCTTGGTTTGTTTTTAATTGAACGTGTACCCAGTTTTAAAATTCTAATTCTGCTAAAAAAATAAAATAAAAAAAAAAAAAAAAAAATAGAAACAGCCAGGAAAACTCTAAGAAAGATAGTCACTGAGAGACAACCAACACTCTCCAATGTTAAGACATTTTGTAAGGCTTCACTGATTAACTTTGGTGCACGAATAGACAGCTACACTAATGAAATGAAACAGAAATCTAGAAATAGACCGAACACATAGAGGGACTGCATATATGATAAAAGTGACATCTCAAATCAGTGGGGGAAATTGATTATTCAATAGATGCTGTTTGGATAACTAGGGAGAAAATGAAATTTATACGTCATCTTATACTTCATTCATTAGATGAATTCCTAATGAATTGAAGATTGTTATAAAAATGAAATTAATTTTCCTGAAAAAAAAAATGCATGGGAATTAAAAACAAATCTTAGAGTGGTGAAGGATTTTCTGATTATGAAATCCAGAAGACATAAAAGGAGAGAATGATTAAGCTAGACTGCATTAAAAAAAAAAATCTGGCATGGAAAAAAGGCCTCTACTATAAGAAAAATACCAAAATGTGAAAAGAAGTTATAATGCATATACACAAAAGGCTAATCTTTTTAATATATTAAATATTCATAAATTGATAAGAATAAAGATTAGAAAGCTTAGCAAATAATAGTTCACAAATAAGAAATTACAAATGGTTTGTAAACATGAAAAAATGCAAAACATTACTTATAAGAAGAGGAATACAAATTAAAATAGCTCCAAATATACTTTTTTTAAAAACCTACATGGTTGGCAAAAATCCAATAGTTTACCTTTGTTGGTGAGACTGAGAAAACACTCTTACACATTTCTGTTGAGAACATAAATTGGCATAATCCCTAAGAAGGACACATTCATAATAATTACCCAAATTACAAGTCACTCTACATTTCTTCTTTTTCTTACTTACTTTGATGTTACATGCAATTTTTTTAAAAATGTATTTTATTAATTTTTTACAGAGAGGAAGGGAGAGAGATAGAGAGTTAGAAATATTGATGGGAGAGAAACATCAATCAGCTGTCTCCTGCACAACACCTACTGGGGATGTGCCCGAAACCAAGGTACATTCCCTTGACTGGAATCGAACCCGGGACCCTTGAGTCTGCAGGCCGACGCTCTATCCATTGAGCCAAACCTATTAGGGTTTACATGCAATTTTAATATATGCTATTATTTTAGCCTAAAAGTTATTAGTAGTCCATTTTACAAATGAAAAAAAAAAGCAACTATAGGGAATTTCACTGTTAATAGCAAAGATTTGGAGAAAAAATTGATAAAGATTATAAAAAGGTCATCAACAACAAAAAAAAGTACAGCATAGAGGCTGCTTATAAAAGGGTAAATTGCATTATACAACTCAAATATGTCTAAAGCCCAGAACTATTCACACCAGTAGCTCACAGATATACATGATGGTCTGAGTTTACCAAAACAGGTAAACTTTACTTAAAGTATTTTATGTAAGAAGGTGAGAATTATGTAATGTAAAGCCCAGGAAGACTTCTGTACTAAATGATTATTTAAAGTAAAATTTCCTGTTGACATTTGCACTGAAGTAATGTGATCTTCCCAGTTTTTGTGTTTCTTTAGAGAAATAAAAAAGAATAAATATCTAGAAAAAAAGAAAAAAAAAAGAAAGTAAATTTTCCATTTCCCAGAAAGTTTAGCATATTCTCTGAAGGTCCTTCAAACTGATGATTTACTGAATTATCTTAATTCTAACCCAACCCTTCTTACCATTGGACTGGGTAATATGGAATGCAACCAACCAGAAGAGAGGAACACTAACGACTATTTGAGAAAGGTATTAGTGTGGGTGGAGGAAATGCTGAAGGGAGAAAGTGGGAGAAGGATTTCTAGTTGGCACAGATGGTGCTACTCACCATATATCGACTTTTTCGGAGACAGGTTCATTTCGTATCACCTCTGGCGCCATCCATGCGACTGTGCCAGCGAAGGACATCTTGGTACTTTTGTCGCTGAGTTCCTTAGATGTACCAAAATCTGAAATTTTTACTGCATCTGTGTGAGTCACTAAAACACTTTGAAAAGAAATAAGAGAACATCCAGATCATTAGTACGAATGAAAAACATGGTTCAAATTGGCAACGGAAGACTTTGCTGCCCCCTACCTTGCAGAATTCAGCTTACCAGTTTCAATATTATTAGGACATTAGTAATACACTAGAAACAGCGCCATTCATACTTGTGAGGCAGCATAGCACAGAGGGCTTTAAAATATATAAAATGTAAAATATATAAATATAAAAAACATATATGTTATTGATGTTTTTTTAAAGAGAGAGGAAGAAAAAGGGAGAGAGAAAAAGAGAAACATTGATGTGAGAGAGAAACATTGATTGGTTGCCTCCTTTACACACCCCACCTGGGGACTGAACCTGTAACCCGGGCATGTGCCCTGACTGGAATCAAACCTGTGACCTTCTGGTGCAAGGGATCATGCTCAACCAACTGAGCCACACTGGCCAGGGCCATGGTGGGCTTTTATATCTGGATTTATCCTGCCTTCACCACTGTGTGAGTTTTGCCAATTTATTTAGTTCTCCTACGCCATTTTTCTCAACTATATAACATGGAGACAATTCAGTTCACAGTATCTTATCCACAGTTTAAAAATGCAAAAGATCTAAGAACAGTGCGTAAGCATTTTTTCATATGTATAAAGCAAACACAATTTATCACACTTTGTGTGCCTACCATAGGTTTTGCTACAGATATATGAATGTGGCTGATTGTAGGGTGCTGCCCCAGCCTTTGCTGGGATGTAAGGTAATGAATGCACTGTTCCTGAAATCATCAGACTCCCGGAGTTGTGGATAAGGAATACTGGCCTGTAATAATGCCTCATAGAAACTTTGTTTGAATTAAATGTGATACGTAAAGCACACATGCTCAATAAATATTGGTTTCCACCCTGCCAGTCTCAGACAGCCCACTAAGAAAACACTTCTTTCAAAACACTCTTTAAGTGATGGCCAACTAAAATCATGCATGGGACCATGATACTAGGAAGTCACTACATTAAAAGGCTAATAAGTATTCTGGGATTCCACTAACGATGAGGAAAAGCAGGGATAAATTTAAGCTTAAGTAAATTTCCACAACTCACGCTTTACTTTCCACAGTAGTTATCTGAAATGTGACCTGGACAAGCTGCTTTTGCCAGCTTTAAAGATGTTATAACCTAGTACCAATACAACTTACTGTGTTTCCCCAAAAATAAGACCTAGCGCATGAAAAGATAAGACATCCTCTGAAAATAAGACCTAGCGCATGGAAAGATAAGACATCCCCTGAAAATAAGACCTAGCGCAACTTTGGGAGAAAAAATTAATATAAGACACTGTCATGTTTTCGGGGAAGCAGGGTACTAACATCCTCATGCACTAGACTGAGTTCACTTGAAACAGCCTGTTTAGAACTTAAGAATGTCAATGAGTTAGGGTTTCAGAGGCTTAATGATCTAGAGACCTATTTTTAAAAATAAAAAGGCTTAATATTCCAACAGTATCAGAGTCAAGGAGTTAGGAAATAGGAAACTTCTGTCTAGATCCTCCCTTCTCTGCTTGAACCAAGGACTTCACATTTGCCCCATCCCTGCCAATATAAAAAAGCTATTTACCAAATAGCTCAGTGCTTGCATTTTGCTTTAGAATATCTTCATCCACTTCCATGCCCTGGTTTTTCACCTGCTATGTAACATCCACATAATTTAGGAATTTTGATTTAATGGTGCTAGTGTTGGTGGAAATGCATAAGGATGAACGTATCATGGGCTATTTGTGATAATTGGAGAATTGATGGTATCATAAATCATGAGAGTCAGAAAAGGTGATAAACCCCTAGGGGGGAAAACTCCAGAAACTTCCCTTTCTGCCTCTTTTGTGCTGCTCATTATAGGACATTAGAGGTTCGGTGCATGAAATTCCTGCACAGGTAGGGTCCGTAGGCCTGGCTGGCGATCAGCGCCAATCTGTGGGGCAACCAGCTGGGTAGATGCCCTGCCGGTCAGGGCCTGCAGGCTGGGGCAGCTCCTGCATTGAGTGTCTGCCCCCTGGTGGTCAGTGCGCATCATAGTGACTAGTTGTTCCACCAGTGGTTCTGCTGTTTGGTTGGTTTGCATATATAGGGTTTTATATAGATGATGAGAGGGAATGAACATGGGAGGGGACCAGAGAAGATATGATTTTGGAACTTTAGTGAAGTTTCTTAGACAAAGGTCACAAAGCCTAAAGATTTAATGTGGGTAATAAAATCTCTCTTTACAGCAAGCCAGACGGATCTTTGTTTTTTTTCAAAATTATCTTGGAACCCAAAGAGGCCAAGGCTACACGGGTTCAGGGTGGTACTGATAACAGAGGGAATGCTTACTGGGTAACCAACTTCCTCTAATCTTTAAGTGACAACAGTTAAAGAGAGCAATGTGTGATTGTTATGTATTCTACATATTCCTAACTTCCTTTTCTAAAATTAATGCTCAAGGAGAACAGGTGATTCAAAAGCAGACTATTCAAAGAGACAGTTGGCAAGTGTTTTGTGTGTATGTGGTGCATGACAAAAGCTTTCATATAGACAGAAGGAATGAACACTTTATAATAAAGTTATTTGCAAGTAAATCAAGAAGGAGGTTGTTTGGTGAGCTAATAATGGCAATAAACATTATTGAGAACTATGGCGATGAATTAGAATTCTTTTGAAGTTTGTAATCAAGAGTGATTTATATCTTCCATGGAAAGAGGCAGGAATCCCTCACCTTCACACAATGATTTAGGAAGCAGTGATCTTTGATCAAAAAGTTCTGGGTTCAAGTCCTAGCTCCATGACTTTGGGCTCTGAGCCCTAGTTTTTCTTACGTAAAATAAAAATAATGATACTTGTCACATCCATCCCACGCAGATTTTGCCAAGATTAAAGCAGATGTGATTATGGATATAAAAACATGTTGTAAATTATAAAAGCACACGCAAAAAAGATTAATCCTTTTCTGCTTCTCCAAACCAAAATGTGATGAGAAGTGATAAAAATGTTTAAAAATAGGAGCAACAGTGAAATATACCATTTTATCAATTCCTTTATGCAATTTGAGGAACTGAATAAATACTCCTCTTAATGTGGTTATTAGTAGCCAAGGAATCATTTTGAAAACAGAGGTTACTAGAAACAGCTTTTTGCTTCTCTTAAATAATCAGTTTGTATTTTTCTTATGGACACTGTGAACCTTATAACTATTTCTTTCTTTCTTTGCTTATACTTTAGGACACTCAGTGCCAAATATGGAGTCTACCTCTTCACCACAGCAGTAGGAAATCTTATGGAATACATTTTGTGAACAAGCTTTAGTTCTAACATTTTTATTTATTCTTTGCCTCTGTTTCTTATTCATTCACTTTTCCCTGACTGTATTAAATGCATTTCTGAAACTCAGTTTTAAAGGTGTTTTTCTGGAAACACACAGGAAAACAACAAATCAAGCCTCCAAGTGAGAAAGTTTGGCATTAATTATTCAAAATGGTTAATTATTCAGATAATGAATTGTTTCATAATTGCACAGTTATAACGCAACAAAAAAGGAAAACCAGTGTCAGGTGCCTGTACATATCTGCCATCTACATCGGTAAGTCGGTCAATAATAATCCAAAAGGTACACAAATAGCATTGCCCACTGTACTGACTTAAGCTGAACCAAAAGTATCATGTCTGAAGATGCAACTAAAGTTGATGGAATTCCTTATTTCAAACCAATAAAACAAAACGGCTGAAAAATTAGCTCTAGTACTCACTTCGGTGATTTGAGATCTCGATGAATAATTTTGTGAAGGTGCAAATAATTCATTCCACTTGCGATTCCTGTGGACCAGTCTACTAGCAATCGAGGTGTGATCTTCCTGCCTGCTCGCAAAACCTCGTAGAGTTGTCCATGGGCACAGTATTCCATGATGATACAATAACATGGGGCCTGAGTACAAACACCCCTTTCAAGAAAACACAAGCATGTATATAGTACACACATAGACACAAACATACATGTATACTTATTTTTATCTTAAGAGTATTTCGTCCTCGCCAGTTTGGTTCAGTGGATAGAGCATCAGCCTGGGGACTGAAGGATCCCGGGTTCGATTCTGGTCAAGGGCATGTAACTGGATTACAGGCACATCCTCAGTAGGGGGCATCCAGGAGGCAGCTGATTGATGCTTCTCTCTCATCGATGTTTCTATCTCTCTATCCCTCTCCCTTCCTCTCTGTAAAAAAAAAAAAAATCAATAAAATATATTTTAAAAAAGAGTATTTCATAAATTTAATCACTAAGACCAATTCTCTAACCAAATTATTTTTTACGTGCATATAGATAATCATTCCTGATTCTTAAATTAGCATTAAAACCCTTTAGTCTACAGGTTTTCTCTACTATGCATAGCAACAATTTTAGTTTTGTCTTGTTCACTTTGGGTATCTATGTGCTATGCTTTCTCTGGGGGGACATTCCGTTCTAGGACAAAGAGAACCCTTTCCTGAGGCTTTCTGTGGGCTGGATATTGTGTTGTTTTGATTAAGAATAATTTAAATAGCTTCCTTTTAGAATTACATAGAGGGTTTTATACATAGTGTGCAGAAATAGAATTCAAATAAAATATTGCTATTTTTACTATTATTTTGTGGAATTCTCAGTTACTCAAATTTAAGACTGGCAAGCTAGATTGAGGATCAGAAAAAAAAGAATAATTTTTCTTTTTAAAAACATGTTTTTACTGATTTCAGAGAGAGTAAGGGAGAGGGAGAAATGGATAGAAACATCGATTGGAGAGAATCATTGGTTGGCTGCCTCCTGCACACCCCCCTACTGGGGATTAAGCCAGAAACCTGGGCATGTACCCTGTCTGGGAATTGAACTGTGACCTCTTGTTCATGGGTTGACACAACCACTGAGCAACACAGCTGGGCTCAATTTTCCGTTTAATATGTTTCATTATTGATGTGTACACCTGAAACTAATATAATATTGTATGTCAACTGTAATTAAAACATAAAGAATTATTTAAATAAATTTAAAAAGAAGTTAAAAAAAACTTTAAAAATTTTCTATAATATATAGTTTTTGAAAAAAATTTCTGTTTAGAATAAAAATAGCATTACACAATGTGCTATATATCCATGCAGCCTGTATTTCCATCAATTCTTACGTCTTCCATGAAGCCTTTCCTGATCACTCCAGCCCAAAGATCTTTCTCTTCTCTCAGTTCCAATGCTTCGTAGCAGCCATTAGTTTTCAGATGCAATCTGATATAGATTACAGACTCACTGAAGGGAAAGGTTTCCAAGTTCTCATTGTCTACCACAAGGCCTAGACATTCACAGCAAGCCATTGGCAGATAGTTCTTAACTTTCCCTTAACTTTCTTTCATGATCAAACCTTCACACAAGCACGTGCAGAGGCCTGGGGTAGAGGGAAGGGCACTAACATGGAAGAACATCTTCTATCTGTCAGGCATGTTTACATGTTTATTGAATTGTTTTATTTCAAACCACTGTAAGATATACATTACCTTTTCCAATTTTTATAGGTAATGTTCAGAGAGGGACTGTGACTTGTCTTAGATCAGACAACTTAATGAGTGACAGTGGGATTCAAATCTGCCCCTTTAACTTCAAAGTCATGCTCTTTCCATGCGTACACCACACTGCCTCTGTTATCCTCCTCAACTGCAGGATAGACCAGCATATTGGAGATTACTACATTAATATTGTTACCTTACAGAAGTGGGAATAGTCAGATTAATTCTAGTTCACAGTTTGGTTCAGAGGATGAGAAAAGAGAAAAAAAAGTCACCATCTGCAATTCTGTGTCCCATCCTTAATGGTATGTATGTATGCCTTCCTTTAAAACTTTTCAGAGTAGCAATTGAGAGCAGTCTACCTGCAAGGCACCCAGCTAAAGTCTTTAGCCAGCTCTCCATTCATGTTTTATTTCGTAGGTTGCTATAAGTGATAGAAGTTATTAGAGGCCATGATGGGCCTGACTGGCATGGCTCAGTGGTTGAGCATCAACCTATGAACCAGGAGGTCACAGTTGGATTCCAGGTCAGGACTCATGCCTGGGTTGAGGGCTTGATTCCCAGTGTGGGTTGTGCAAGAAGCAGCCAGTCAATGCTTTTAGCTCATCATTGATGTTTCTATCTCTCTTCCTCTGCCTTTCTCTCTGAAATAAATAAAAATATATATTTTACAAGGCTATGATGGTTTATAATCATGTGAAAGTCATACAACAATAGCAGGTTATAAAGAAATTAAGTAATTAGTCTTCATTTTCCCTGCTTTGCTGTGCCTGTCAAATGCCACAAAGCTATTTCTATTCCTCTCCATCATTTTCTAGCTGCCCAAAATTTTCATCTTGATTTTCAGTGGAAACATTTTTTCAAGTTTTTGTTATTGATCATTGGAACAAGAATGTACCTCAACTACAAACAGACTTTAATTTTCATCACAGAGAAATAATGAGTAAGGCAGGAATAATGTAATATGCTTAAAGATATCAAAATACATATTTGATTGAAGTTATTCAGAACCCCGTTCAACTATGTTTTAACTTGTCACAAATGTAGACAGAAAGGGCCTAATGGTGATATGCATGCGTTTTTCATCTTTCCCGACTGACGAATGAGAAGCAATCATTCCATCAGCCCTATACTATGACAAGGCCCTCACTAGCTATAAATAGCAGCTCTATAATCACTTCTAATTGCTACCTTTTCTTCCCCTTGGCACTCAATTCCATTAGGAATAGTCAGACTGGGTTTTCTTAAAAGATTGTTTTAAGAAATTGGAAGGAAAAAGAATACAGTATTCTTTCCTTGCTATTTCCCTTCTGTACATGGTTCTTATTTCAAAAGAAGCTGTAAGCACAGAAATCAGTATCCAGAGAGACGTACTAACATCTGATCTTGCCTTCATGTCTTCCAGATGGTCCTGAATGATTCATTGGCCAAGCAACACATGGCACAGATAGCTGCAAACATAACACTGCACAATGCCTCAAGAGCATGGTGTAATGGGCCAGGGACACAGTCTCTCTATTGTTTCCATGTAGAGGTAAAGACTATTCAAGAATTCAGCCTAAAGAGTTGGGCACCAGCATGGCAATATTTGTCCAAAATGCTGAAAGGAGCATATGCAGGTGGGTGGGTCAGAGAGTGAGGTGGGAGGAAAGACTGAGAAGAAAAAGGAACAGCCGAAACCAGTTTGGTTCAGTGGATAGAGCGTCGGCCTGCAGACTGAAAGGCCCCAGGTTCGATTCCGGTCAAGGGCATGTACCTCGGTTGTGGTCACGTCCCCAGTAGGGGGTGTGCAAGAGGCAGCTGATCGATGATTCTCTCTCATCAATGTTTCTAACTCTCTATCCCTCTCTCTTCCTCTCTGTAAAAAAATCAATATAATATATATAAAAAAAAAAAAAAGAAGAAGAAGAAGAAAAAGGAACAAAGCTTCTCATACCCATCCTCTTAGGACACAAATTCTACATGGAAAGCCCTCCTACCTGGAAGAAACAGCCAATTTCATTTCAGGAAGCCCAAAGGCTTGCTAATCTCTGTCTCAAACCTAAGCTTCAAGGTTTGGTTAAATGGAAACTCTACTTTCCATTTAGAGTGAAGATCCTCTCGGTAAAGTAAAATGAAAGAAAGAAGTGAGTTTCTGGTAGCCTGCTTAAAAAGAATTATCTTGCCCTGGCCAGTTTTCTCAGTGGTTAGAGCATTGGCCTGCAGACTGAAGGGTTGAGGGTTCATTTCCCAGTTAAGGGCATGCACCTGAATTGCAGGTTGTATTCCCTGGCTCTGGGCCTGTGCAGGAGGCAACCAGTCAATGTGTCTCTCTCACACTGATGTTTCTCTCTCTTTCTCTTTTTTTCTCTCTCGCTCTCCCTCCCTTCTTGCCGCTTCCATTCTCTCTCTAAAGATCAATGAAAAAAAAATATCCTAGGGTGAGGATTAAAAAAATAAAATCCTTTTATTGTCTTTAGAAATGATCATCTTTGGAAAGATTAGAATTGGTCTCTAGAGCATTTTGTTTTAGTCTCACATGCAACTAGGGCTACCAGAAATAGAATCTCTAGAGAGAGCGGAAGGGAGAGGGAAGGGAGGAGAGAGAAACATAGATGTGAGAGAGACAGGACACATGGATTGGTTGCCACCTGCATGTATCCCAACCCGCACTTGCACTTGTCCTGACTGGGCTGGGGATTGAATCCCAACCCAGGTACATGCTCTTGACTGGGAATCGAACCTGTGACCCTTCAGTGTGCAGGCTGATGCTCTAACCTAGGGGTGTCGAACTCAATCAGAGAAGGGGCCAAAATCTAAAATCCAGCCTAAATCGCGGGCCAAATGGTTTACTGAACAGTCATAAACTGTCATTGTGATGGAAACGCAGCGGAGTGCAGTGATGACAGCGCGGTGCGGGCCACATTGCAAGGCCTGGTGGGACGGATTTGGCCCGCGGGCCTTGTGTTTGACACATGTGCTCTAACCACTGAACAAGGTTGGCCCTTTTTATACCCATTTCCCTTTCCACAAGGGGTCTTGAATCAAAACAGCCTTAATACTCATTTAAATTCATTCTACAAAACCTGTACCTAAGATTTCTATTTCTTACTTTGGGGATGTGGTTCCAACAAAAAATTATCACATTGCATGTTTATTTTTATAATGAGAATTTTATCAAGAGAGGCTCCCTCTTGGAGGCTGGGAGGAATTCCTTCTAGTTTAGGGAAGGGGGATTTGTAAGTTATTCCACTTTTAACTGTAGCCTCATTGGTCATATTATTTTCATATCCTATATAATAAAAGTCTAGGTGACATCACGCATGATGTCATCATAAGAAGGCTGCTACAAGATGGCTGGCAGGAGAGGGAAGTTGGGGGCAACAAGGCTGCAGGGGAGGGCATTTGGGTATGACTAGCCTGTCAGGGGAGGGCAGTTGGGGGTGACCAGGCCTACAGGGGAGGGCAGTTAAGGGCTACCAGGCTGGTAAGAGAAGGCAGTTGGTGGCGACTAGGCCAGTAGGGGAGGGCAGTTGGGGGCGAGATCAGGCCTACAGGGGAGGGCAGTTGAGACTATTGGGCTGGCAGGGAAGGGGAGTTGGGAATGATCAGGCCAGCAGGGGAACAGATAGGGGTTGATCAACCAGCAGGCAATCAGGCAGGTAGGCAAGCAAATGGTCAAGAGCCAGCAGTCCTGGATTGTGAGGGGTGACCAAATGACTGAACAGCAGGCTGTGTGGGGCAACGAGGCTGGCGGGTTGGGGGGAAGTTAGGGGTTACCAGGCTGGTGGGGGGTAGTGAGGGATAACCAGGCTGATGGGAGGCAGTTGGGGGCAACTAGGCTGGCGGGTGGGTAGGGGAGCAGTTAGGGGTGATCAGGCAGGCAGGCAGGCAGGCAGGCAGGTAAGAAGTTAGGAGCCAGTCGTCCCAGATTGTGAGGGTGCAGGCTATGCTGAGGGACCCCGGGCCTCTAGTATACATATAAAGAAGTTCTATTTTCTATACTTTTAGCCCACCTAAAAGCTACCTTTCCTATTCTTCACTTTGCCTACTCTAAAGCCACTCACCATTCATTTGTTCAAACCTAAGGCAAACTTTGAAGGCTGGTAAGAAATGGAACTCAAGGCAGAAGGAATTGCACATATTTAGAACTCAGCGCTGCTAAATTTGGTGACTTCCCACAAATTTGCCTTTGGGTCTCCCCCTTTTGCTAGGGATCCCTGCCAATATTGTGAGAATAATGATCTAAACTATAAAAATCTTGAAAACAACTACTTTGTGAAATGAAAATAGCACATAACTTGCTATCACTCTGTCATTATGTTTAGAAAGCTGAGTATTTGGCATTCCTTAAAAAGCCACCTAGCAAGCAATGATGCAGGGAGAAATACTCTGAAGGTATCTGTTATTACAAGTTAATATTTAATAAGAAATGCTAACAGAAACTAATAAAAAGCACATCAATTACACAGGAACTAATTGTTCTCTGGTCACTTAGATGTTAGCTTTGTTTTCTTAACTGAGCTTTAGGACGTTCAGGTTATCTGTCATCCATTGATAACTGAGGTTGATGGGCAGATCTGTCTGCTTGGCAAGAATACACTTTCTCTCTCTCTGCCCCATCTGCATCATGTCCAAGCAGGGCATCCTCTGGCAAAAATAACTTCTATATTATAAACTCCTTGAAGACATGACTCTAATATAAAAGGTCTTTGATACACTACCAAAGCACCTAGCACAGTGCTCAGTCTATAGCATGGTCTTAACATTTCTTTCAAAGCAGGAATTTATATGTATATATTGGGGGAAAGAAAATCTATTTCTTAAAAAAGAAAACACACACACACATACACACACACACACACCCCAAAAGCCTGGACCTACTTGAAAGCGATGATGTTAGGATGTTTCAACTTCCTCAAATGCTTGATATCCGTCTCATTCTGCTCTCTCACTTTCTTGATGGCCACCTCCTCCGCTCGGAACTTGCCCAGGAAGACAGCTCCTTGGGCTCCACTACCCAGCCACTGCAGCTCTGAGATCTCCTCAAATGGCACTTCCCAGGTATCTAGGCACACAAATGAGAAACAAGCTTAAAAAGATCTTGGAATTTGCTTAGGGACCATTCCATAAGGTCACTCCAAAGGTACCAGCTTTACTATGCCCCAAATGACTCCACCCTTTGTCTCCCACTTGGTAACTCACCAAAAGTTGGAATCTTACTATGTGCCTTGATACTATAGATTAGATATTCCCATGAGTTAGTCTGTATCAAATTTTAACCAGTGAAATCAAGCAGATCAGAGATCTCCAATATACTCTCCTCCAAACAAAACATATAGGGTATCCCATAAGATGTATACACACACTTTGAATAATTATAAAGGCAGTGTTTATTAAAATATATTTCATTTTCAAAATTGAGCTATCAGCTGTTAAAGTGTGTATACAATTTTGGGGGACACCCTGCCTACTCCTTTCTCTACGTTTCAAGCTTGCATGTTCAGTCTATTCCCCTGTCTCTACACTGCTATCCCTACCTCATCACCCACTATAAGTGTTGTTTTATTCCTCTTCAAATTTCTAGACAGGTGCTCAATTAATTCTTGCTGAATGAATTTTCAATGATACTCACCTAACAATCTAATTATGCATAATACCTGTATTAGTATTTACCTTTTATTTAGTAGTTACTATATGCTAGACACTAGCATATTGTTTTACATGTCTCATGTGTTTAATCCTTACAACAACCCTACAAGTTCAGCCTTATCATGGTTTTTTAAAGATGAGAAAACTCTTTAGGGATAGAAATGGATAAGTGGCAGAATTGGGCCTAGAACTCTAGAATTGGCAGATTCCAAGGACAGGGTTTTTCTTTTTCTTTTTTAAATTTAATATATTTTATTGATTTTTTACAGAGAGGAAGGGAGAGAGATAGAGAGCTAGAAACGTCGATGAGAGAGAAACATCGACTAGCTGCCTCCTGCACACCCTCTACTGGGGATGTGCCCACAACCAATGTACAAGCCCTTGACTGGAATCGAACCCGGGACCTTTCAGTCCGCAGACCGACGCTCTACTGCTGAGCCAAACCAGTTTCGGCAGGGACAGGGTTTTTCTACTGTACCACATTGCTTCTTGTGCAGTAACTAAGAGTGTCATTAGTCATATCTATATATAAAAGCCTAAGCGACAAAACAACCAATTGACCAGTAACTATGATGTGCACTGACCACCAGAGGGAAGAGGCTCAACACAGGAGCTACCCCTGGTGGTCAGTGCACTCCCACAGTGGGAGCATCGCTCAGCTGACTGACGGGCGCCAGAGGTGGGGCCCACAGTGGTTAGCACTGCTGTGACAGGGCGAGCCTCTCTTGATCGGGATGACAGGGGTAGTAGTGCTGGGATGAGTGGGAGCAGCAGGCAGGAGCGGCAGGCGGTATTGGACTGCCAGTTTCCGCCCGATAGTTGCAGGAAGAGGGACCTCACTGGTGCACAGATCCATGCACCAGGCCTCTAGTATTTACTAAAATAGATATTTATTCTTGTAGTTCTCATATTTTCATGTTTCTCTCCTTATAGAGTTTTATTTTTGGTACCAAATAAATAAATAAATAAAAATAACAGGGGTTATTTCTAAGTGGTGGTATTATTAGTGATTCATATGGTTCTTTATCCTTTTCTGCATTAAACATTTTTAACTCTAAGTGTATAATACTTTTATAATGAATTAAATGCTATTTGAGATAAAGCACTTAAAAATCCAATCAATATGTGCTTTAATCTTGTGAAACTTAAAAGGAAGAATATAATCCATTAATCCTTCTCCTTGTCCCCCTTTTGCCAGTGCATCATCATTGCACTGGTAAGAAATGAACATCAAAGAGCCAGGAGCCCCACGGAGTGAGGGGAGGTTGATGACAACATTAAAGGTTATGAGAAATTCTTGTTGGATTACTGGTCACTAAAAGGCTGCCATTTAGAGAACACTGAACAAGGTAGTGTTGAGGTGGCTTTGAAGATATTCTGGTCTTGAAAGCAAATCAACTCTCACCATTTGCCATGTGAAGCAAGAGCAGAAAGAGTTCATCAGCCTCCAGAAGGGAACTGCATTTCCCTCTTCTCTAATTTTCTCCACATTAGGAGAAAAGAAACTCTGTAGGCTCTTAATAAACTGGCTCCTCATCACAATGGTTAAAACATGACCTACAAAATGTAACTATGTAAAGCAGAAAATATTATAGTGAGGGTGGTTTATATCATGGGCATTCGTCCCCTTCTACTGATATCAGCAGTATTTAAAGGTTTCTATGCTATTGAAAGGAACTATATGCTATATCAAAGCAAATCTCTAAAGTACAAATAACTCACAAATGAGAAATCACCTAAGGAACAAATAATATCAAATGCGATTAGGGAGAAAGCAGTAAGTTATAGACTTGACTGCTTTCAATATCTTATTGGCTTCTAATGTCTGATAAGTATCAAGTGGCTCAAGCAGTCTCACTTTCGTCCCCACAGGCTTATTGTGCAGCACACACAGGCACAGATATTGATGCATACTCTAAGACAGTTTTACTATTAGGGTCATTGAAGAACAACCAGTAAACACAGTGTCATTGTGACCATCCTGAGGGCGGAATAAGGTATTATATTATTACAGGATATGGGTCAAGAGCATAATTGGATAATATTTCTCTGAATAACTTTATAAACACCCAAGTTACCCTAATTTTTAATACAATAGCTATTAAAATTAGATAATATTTGGGTGTCTTTTTCCCCTCTATCTACTCAATCTTTATTTACTGTTAAATACTAGAAACATTAGAAAATACCAAAATAACATCTATTTTATCTGATATCCCATCCCATACTCAGTTTTCATTTCATCTTTTAGTCTTTGTTCATATGTATACAGCTATGTAAAAGTTGTATGTGATGTATAATTTTTTCTTTTTCGTGTATTATGTATTCCCCATGTACTTACATAATTTTTATTTTAAGCTTTAATAGTTGTTTACTGTATCTTCATCTTTTTTTGGCATTTAAATATTTCCATCTTTTTGTTTCCTAATTTAAATTTGAAATTAAAACACTTTTTTTCTTTCTTTATATTTACTTCCACAAACTCAATCCTTAGATTAAAGATTAAAGTTTCCTGGCTCTTGGTATACATTCCAAATTGCTTCCCAAAAGGATTTAGTTTGTTTTTGCTGACAGCAACAATGTATGTTCCTTTTATAACAACTTTGCCAGCAATGAATATTGCCAATTATTTTTTGGTGCTAACTTAATTAGATATAAAATACTGTTTTATGTTTGTGCTACTTTAATTGTCAGCAATGTGGAATATTTTCTTTACATTTGCTTACTATGCACATCTATTTTGTATGAGTTGTCAAATTTATCCTTTGTCTATTTATCTAGTTTGGTTTGTAGTTCTCATAAATTTGAAGGAACTTCCTCTCTATTTCTTTGAAAACATGAAGATAATTTTTTATAAAAAGCCCTTTTCTTTTAATTTTATTATTTTTTTGAACAACATATTTTTGTGGTTGCCTGAAATTTTCTTTGTAATGTCTTCTACTGGCTATTCTATCCTCTAAGAGTTGATCTATAGTTGCTTTTTAGAAACTTTAACCTTTACATCCATCTGGAGTTTAAGTAACTCTTTTTATATCATTTTATAATGCTTACATTGTAATTTATTATATTTTAAATAAATAATGCCTATTATTAATGTTTTTTCTTTTCTTTTTAAAAAATCCTCACATAGGATGTTTTTATTGATTTTAGAGGAGGGGGGAGAGAGAGAGAGAGAGAAACATCGATGTGAGAAACATCAATTAGTTGCCTCCCATATGTGCCCCTACTGAAGATTAAACTGTGTCCTGACCAGGAATTGAACAGTGCAACCATTCTGGTGTATGGGATGACACTCAACCAACTGAGCCACTTGGCCAGGGTTTATTACTACGTATTTTTGTAAAATGAGAAATAAATAAATTGTCACTCAAATACCAAAAGTTGAGGATATTATAATAAGGAATAAAGTATTCATCTACCATCAGTAGCTCATGCCTGTGCTATTCAGCCAAGTGTTAATTAATATAGAAAAATAAAGGAGATAGCATTGGTATTCAAGAACACAGAGTGCAAAATAAAATAATATTTCAACTACCTTCGCATCAATCTTTTTGCTAGAACTGATTACCAAAAGTAAAATGGATGGGTGTGATTTAGTCCTCTTGTCCTGTCCCAAAGTCCCTGTCAATATCTAGTAAGGAGGCAAGAGATAGTAGAATGGCAGGGGGAAAAAAACTCAAACAGCAATAAGAATGTGAAAAATAGGGGGCCTAGATCATTAATGAACAAGATCACTATCCTCATAATAATGGGAATTGGCTGTGCTCCCTCCAGGGTTAGCCCCAGACTTTCCGCTGCTTTTACTTCTGTCCCTGGTACTCTTCCCAGCTTTCATCTTCTCTCTGATACATCACTATGACTACTATCGTAATTCCAATATCCACCAGGATTCTTAAGACAGAGAAAAAGCCACATGCCCACCCACTTTAATGCCTAAATTCTCCTTTGTTTATTCAGACATGCCTATGATAATACTTGCTTTGAGACTGGGAATTATTTGGAAATAAAGATTTCAATGACATAGTGCTACCTTACTTGGACTTCACCACCAATGAACTAAATGGCAGATGAGTACATCATTACGTTTTTTTAAAAAATCTAGTGAAATTTCCTCATATGTACCAACCACAGGGACACATCTGTTACACGAGCTATCCCTTGGTTGACTGTAATCCTGGATTAAAGATAATCTCCCTGATCCCAGGCTGACAAGGAAGAAACGCTTAGTTTCTGGCTAGCCAATCTCCTTCATGGCAACACCAGCCCCAATAGGATATCTTATCATCTGCTGAAGAGTTAGGCAGCTGCTGTGTCCTTGTAAGCTTAAACTGACCAGGCCTGTTTCTTATTTATTCCGGCAATAATCCTTTCTGAAAGTCACATAATCAACCGGAAGACAAATTAAATACAAGTTTATAGAACAATAAAAAATTTCAAAGGCTCCCTTTCACCAACACAGAATGTGACTTTTATATCTTTTATATGTCTACCCTTCAATGTTGCGTTTGGATCCTGAGACCTTCAATTTACCACCAAAATAATTATGAGACTGGACAAGTTAAGACCCTAAAAACCAAACATAGTTTACAGCATAAGCAGATATTTGTAGGTTTTATGTCTATTCAAAGAGGGAACTTAAAAAAAAATAATTTAACTTATCTAAGGGTTATTATCTGTAGATTGTGGGATAACAGGCCATTTTTGTTTTCCTCTTTGTGCTTATCTTTATTACCAATTGAAAAAAAAAAAAAGACTTTAACATAGGAGTTCCCAGCTTTTGTATGACAAGGAATGCTTTTTTAATTTCCTTGAAAATTTAAGATCATGGGGGGTAGGAGGTGAAGGTGGAATGTGCAGAGTATGGGAATATGTATGAAAAAGAGAGAGACACAGACAGACACACAAAATCCAGGTATTGACAAAGAATTTCTGCATGGAGCTTGAATGGAGGCTGACAAATCCTGAAAAGTACTCCTGGAATTGACAGATCTACCAGTAGATTTCAATATACTTATGGGGAAGAAGTATGGAGGGAGAGGTTGGTATGGTTTAGGATGAGTATTGCACAAATAGGAGAAACAGAATGCATGAAAAAAGTGGTTAATGGCGACTAATGTCGACTGGCTGTTGTGGAAAAGCTGTCAATAGTCCTGATGAAAGAGAAGAATATATTTGAAGGGAGGGCCACAGAGTCCAATATTCATTATAAGAGAAATAAAACAGAATCTTATTTCTGGTCCATATTTTTCCCTTCTAAAATTTTAAATGAGAGATCTCATAACAACTGACTCATTTATACAAGGCTACAAAGATGTGTATCAAAAGCCTTAAAAGCAACAAACACTTTGAACCCAATCATTCCTCTTCTAGGAATTTATCCTAAGGAGTAATCAAAGATATTTGCAAAAATTAAGTAATAGGCAGATGTTCATTGCAGTGTGACTTATAATCACTAAAAATAGCAAACAAATTGCCAAGTAATAGAGGGTTGCTTAAATAAATATTGGCATGTTCACATGATTTAATATTATGCAGCCATTAAAAATGATGCTGACAAAATATATTTGATGATATGAAAAAAGTTCACCTTATGAAGTAAAAAACAGTATGACTCTATTTGCTTTTAAGGCACACATACACACACAAAAGGACTAACGTAATATATACCACAAACATTAATGGTGATTAATTGCAGGATACTGGAATCACAGGTTATTTTAACTTTTTTTTTTCTTCAGGGGTTGGGGGGACTTACCTGTATGCCCCAAATTTTCAACATATATTACATTTGATATCAGAAATAAAATGTTCTTTTCAAGAACATAAATGAAGTTATAAAGAACTCTAGGGCCACGTGTTCTCTTTACTTCAGAACCAGCATGCTGGAATTAGAATACAGGAATATATGTGCTACACAGTGATGGGAGTTAAAATTTTACTTTTTAAAAAGCAGGGGTACCTAGAAATAATGACGTATCTCAAGAATGGTTAGATATTTTATCTTTCCTCAAACTGTGGGCTTCCTGTACCTTGACTGAAAGAAATAAATTCCTTTTACGACACCCTCAGGCAGGCTTGCAATCATCAGGGGCAGTAACATGTGGCTTCCATCTGGTTTGGGATCAGTCCAGGGGCTATCAGACTTTTTGATTGGCCATCAATAAAAAATTTTAAATATGCAAATATCATGTGGTTTATTTATAAATTACATACCTGCACTTTGTTAAAATACCAAAGCTATATGAAAACACATGTGAAAATAGAAAGTTAAAATGATAAGATGAAAGAAACAGAAACTCTAACATTTTCTTCCTTGTCACACCATGGATTGTCTTATCTGTACTCTACTTTGGACACCATTGGATTGGACAAAGACAAAAGATGGGCTTCGACCAAAAAAATCCAACCGAATGTGAATCTGTTCCATTCAGAAGGTCTATGGGAAACTGATGTGGGTATTCACCAGGCACTAGCTCTTTAATTTACCCACAGGCCAAAGGTTATGCAGTTAATAATGATGGTGTCTTTACACAAGAAATACCTTCTAGGTCTATTATGATAGCTTACCTTGCTGCTGTAATTTGTAATCAGTGGAATACGCCTTCCCAATGATATTCCACACAGGCCTTAAGCATCCAAATAGTCCTTCAAGAAACCCACCACTGCCGTGGCCCGACCTGCTGAACTGGATCTTGATGTCTTCTGTTCCACTCATGCTCTCTCCATCTACAGGGTTGCTGTTCCCCTGAGACACGGCCATTTCCGATTCATCTTGTTCCCTTAGCTGAAGAACGCTGTTCTCAAACTGGTCCCTGGAATCCTCGCTCACACTTGTCAACACTGTGGTGGTGATGGGGCTGCTCATGCCCTCCGTTAGCTCCGTTTGCACCACCCCTGTGTCCTGCTGGTCCTTAAGGAGCTTGGGAGAAGGGTGGCTCCCCTCGGGTGGGAGTTCATCTTGCAGTCCATTGAAAGTTTTGTTTTCACTCAAGGGTAAGTGTGGTGAGGAGGAGCAGCTCAGGTGCTCCTGAGGGCCGGCCATCGTGCCATGAGTGTGCCTGAGGCCCTGAGATGACACTCAGAGGATTATCTGAATGGAGTTCTGATGTGAGAGAGGGATCCAAAACCTGGGGGGACAGGAGGAGGACATGAGATCACCCTTACTGCAGTCATCCACTCTACACTTCTGTTCAGAGTAATAAAAACACTGAAACAATGAGGTTAGTTCAACAGTGGTGCATAGCCACATGGTGGAATATTGTGTAGCAATTAAAAATCATGCTGAAGAAGAGCATTTACTCACATGAGAAGATTCATGACATATGAATATAAAAACACATTAGAACAATATATTCAACATAAACTGTTTTTAAATATATTTAAAAGGATACATAAACACATATACAAGAAAAAAGACTGAAAGGATATATCCAAAGAATTAACAATAGTTAATTCCAGGTGGTTAGATTGAGGGAGTGATGGTGGTTATATTGTCAAGTTTTTTGAGATATTCCAAGCATTCTATATTAATGCAGTATGTTGCTATTGACCCAGTGTTTGTGTCCCTCCCAAATTTATATGTTGAAACCCAATCCCCATAGTGTTGATGTTTGGTGGTGGGATCATAAGGGTGAAGTCCCCGTGAATGGGATTAGCAGCCTTATAATAGAGTCCCTAAAGAGTATCTCCGGTCTTTTCTGTCCTGTGAGGACACAGTGAGGAGATGGCTGTCCGTGAACCAGGAAACAGGCAGTGAAGATGAGGTGGTAGGTTTCAGAGGCAGAGTTGGTAAGATCTAGTGATTAAACATAGGGGTGGGTAAGGAAAAGGGAGAGGAATAACTTTTAGATAACTTACATGGATAATGGATAGATGGATATGTCATTAACTGAGATACGAAACATCAAAAGAAAAGGAGATTTAGAAAGAAGGTAATTAACTCAGTTATAGACATAGAGGTTTTAACAACTTTTGTGTATGTCATGCACTGAACCAGGCTTTTATTTTTGTTATCTGATTTTTAAAAAGACATTTTGTAGAAAGGGATTTGAAGAGAGGTAAAGATGGGTGCTCCTTTAGCTCAGGGGAAGAAGTATCAGAATAATACACGGGTGAACCCTAGTTAAATTAAAGGTGCATTTATTAAATATGTGGTAAGAGCTGTGCTGCAACGGGCTAGCTTCTGTGGATACAGAACATTACTTGTTGCCATTACTACTTTTAATGCTGATTCAGACAAAGAGCTTTATAGTTTACTAGTGGCCCGGTGCACAAAATTCATACACATTAAAAGGGGTTTAATTGGAGGAAATAATTTAATATTGCTATTTGCCCTTTCTCTATAATAGAAGTGTCAGAGATGGGGAAAAAATTAGTAAAATGTATATGAAAACCTTTCTCCTGTTAGAGTCTGGGGTGCAGCTTTAGGTCCCCCAGCCCGGGTGGAGGAAGGGGGCACCTTGAGGTCCGCTGGCCTGGGCAGAGGGTGTGGCCTGAGGTGCCCTGTCAAGCCCTGCATGGTAGGTGTGTGGCCTCAGGTCCCCCGGCCTGGCTCTGGGCAGAGGTGGGGGGAGGCGCAGCCTCAGGTCCTCCAGCTGGGTGCCGAGGAGGGGTGTGTGGCTTGAGGTTCCACCAGCACAGAACCTGGGTGGGTGGGGGGCATGGCCTGAAGTATCCTGTCAAGCCCTGCCTGGTGAGGGGTACGCCCTGAGGTCCCACATCAAGCCCTGCTGGGCAGGGGGCACAGCCTGAGATCCCCTGGCCTGGCACCAGGGTGTGGGGGCGGGGGAGTGTGGCCTGAGGTCCCCTGGCAAGCCCCACCAGGCAGGGGGAGCAGCCTCAGGACCCCTGCTCCTGCCCAGGGCTAACCAGCCGCAGGTCCCTGCTGATTTTTCGTTAAGGCTCATTATGGAACTCGGCCTCTGCTGTAGGCACAGCCATCTTGTTATGGTTTGATGGTCAATTTGCATATCTCCTCTTTATTAGATAAGATAGAGCCTTGTTTACATAATTCAGTCATGTGCTGGTAAACCAGCTCTCCAGGGGGAAAAAAACAACAACAACCCAATTTGTAGGGTTTATAATTTCCCTGGGATAAATACTTCCACTATGGCAGATCTTAATCTAATAACATTTTAACAACCTGCTTGCAAAGTTACTCAATATTGGACAACTGGCCCTTACAAATTGATGTATAAGCCAGCTCCATCACTAATAGTCCTGGTAAGAGTGCCTTGTCATTTTACAGAGAAGTAAAAAACTTTTCTAAGGTCATATGTGGAATAAGAGGCAGAGCAAGAATTAAAATCTAACTAAAATTTAGATTCCTTTTTAATAACACGATAGCCCTTAGTTTCTTAAAGTGCTTTACAGTTAAAAAATACTGTTGCCCCTAATCTTGATCTAAACATTTGTCCCCTGTGTAAGGAAGAGAAAACATAGGATCGTTGTCCCTGTTTTTCAAAGGACACTAAGGCCTAGAGACAGGTATGTGCTAAAGTCACAAGGCAGGATTGAATACCAGGTTATTTTTCCTTATCCCCAAACTCTCTCCTGTACCATACAGTCTCTGTAAGATGCAGAACACAGTTCCTTCCTTTCAGAGCTGGCAAACTAGTCAAGGAGTTAATAATTACATCCAGGGAATCACCTTCTGACTGTTCCCCAGACATGACAAATGAGCTGTGAAAAGAAAAACAATAGTGGGGGCAGGAGTAGTGAACTTTGGCTGAAGGAGAGAGGTAGGACTTGAGATGAAACTTTGAAAGAAAGATGTGTTTCAGACAGACAGAAGAAAGGAAAACAGGGAGGGGGAAAAAGACCAGGGCATGGAAGGGGTTGATAAGTTAAATTTTAGGGCATGGAGAAATTTTGGAGCTGGGCAAACTGCCTGGGAATGTAAGGTTGGGGAAAAAGAGAAAAAGAAAAGCTGGATTCATGTGTTGCAGCAATAGCTGTTGGCTTGAATGGACCCCCATTCTCCTCACCCTATCCTCCCCACTTTGTTCCCTTTGTGCTCATCTCAGTGTTTTGACATTACTGATCCCCGCACTTTGCTTTCTTGCTCATCTCCTGCTACAATCTTGGGCTGTTTCTTGCCTTTGGCCTCTCCAACCTTGTTCTCCCTGATCTCTTTGAAGACTGCTGACTTCAGAGTCTCTGGCTGGCCACTGCCTCCTCCGTTCCTTCCAGTCTGCCTCTGCCACTGGGACTTGTGGTTATCCCATTCAGCACAGGGTGTCCCTTATGCTATTGGCTCACATTAGACTTGAGGACAGTCTAATGTGATATGTGATCTTCAGCCAAACACCTATTTGTGCAATTTGTTCTTTGAATCAAACTATGGACTTTATATTAATTCTTAGTAAATTTCTATTCTGTCACTTTTTATCCTGAGTTTCTCCCTGATGACATCACATTGGAATGAACTCACACACAAAAAGTTAGAAAAACATGTATTAAAAAAAATAAAAATAAAAATAAATAAATAAATAAATAAATAAATAAATAAATAAATAAATATATATATATATATATGTGTGTGTGTGTGTGTGTGTGTGTGTGTGTGTGTGTATATATATATTATTGATTTTTTACAGAGAGGAAGGGAGAGGGAGAGAGAGAGTTACAAATATCGATAAAGAGAAACATCGATCAGCTGCCTCCTGCACACCTCCTACTGGGGATGTGCCCGCAACCCAGGTACATGCCCTTGACCGGAATCAAACCTGGGAACTTTCAGTCCACAGGCCGACGCTCTATCCACTGAGCCAAACCAGTTAGGGCATGTGTTTGTTTTGTAATCTCTTTCCTTTTCCAATAGGTTAAGGGTGCCCGTGAAGCGGACCTGTTGCCACTGGCACTGGGAACGAGTACAGAGGAGATCTTTAGCATGGACATCACATGCAATTTGATATTTAAGAGATCAAGGAATAACAGGACTTCAAGGAATACAGTCCAACCCGCTGGCTTTTTACATATGAGAAGCAAATCTCAGAGAAAGTGCTGACTTGCTCAACACAACCAATTAGTGGCAGAGCTGGGATGCGACCTCTTCCTCATCCCAATTAGTGTGGTCAAAGAAGCTTGTTCCAAGTCCACTGTCCGTGAACAAAGGCAGAGAAATGAGAGACACAGAACAAAGGGAAGGAATCATCGCCATGACTGTATTCCAGTATGATCAGAGCTGATTCTACATTTAAGAACAGTGTAGGAGGATAAAAATGTCTAAATTTTACCTGTGATTGTGTGCACACCTACAAACAGCCACTGCACAGTGATGAAGCTGGTAAGTAGAAACTGAGGGAATGCAAGCAGCCCCACTATCTCTGCCTCTATCTTTGTCCTCTCAATCTCACTCTCCCTGACCAGATTCTGCTCAGGTATCCTCCTGGGAACTGACTGGATCTTCTTTTAAAACAATTTTTTTTTTAAATTGATTTCAGAGAGGGAGAGGGAGAGATAGAAACATCAATGATGGGAATCATCGGTAGATTGCTCCTGCATGCTCCCGATGGGGGATCAAGCCTGTAACCCACCCAGGCATGTGCCCCCAACTAGGAATCCAACCATGACTTCCTGGTCATAGGTTGATGTTCAACCACTGACTCACACTGGCTGGGCATGACTGAATATTTTAATTCATGAGAAGTCAAAGTTAGCTTTTATTTGAAGGGGATAGAAAAGAAAGGAGATGATATATATATATATATATATATATATATTTTAAATATTTTTATTGATTTTTTACAGAGAGGAAGGGAGAGGGATAGAGAGTTAGAAACATCAATGAGAGAGAATCATCGATCAGCTGCCTCCTGCACACCCCCTACTGGAGATGTGCCCACAACCAAGGTACATGCCCTTGACGGGAATTGAACCTGGGACCTTTCAGTCTGCAGGCCGATGGTCTATCCACTGAGCCAAACCAGTTTTGGCAGGAGATGATATTTTTAAACACTGAGAGTTAGATGGAAAAAGATAAGGAAGAGCAGAGGAGTGGAGGGCAAGGTGGGCAGGGCTGCGGGGGAGGTGAGGTGGCTGCCACCTTCACAAGGGCTCCTGAACCTGCCAGGAGCTCAAGAGGGGCTTCTGCATCTGCCCTCCAGGCGTGCTCCTCTGACTCGGT